AAAAACCGGAATCCGCGAGCACCGATTCGTTCGGCCTAGCACCGGGTGGCGCCCGTGGAAGAGGCGGCTTGTACCCGCAGGGCCTCAGGTCAGCGAACTGGACATCTTCGGAACCCTATTTTCGGGGCATTTTGCGTGGGCAAGTGTTAGGTTAGGAATTGACACATTTCTCTGGCGAAATGGACCATTTCCGCCATCCGGAATCCCGAAACCTTGGTGAGGAAGCTTGGACCTTCTAGGCCATTGGCCCCATGTGACTGCTTCGGGAAGCACTTGTCACTTGAGCTGCTCTCAGAGTCGCTTTTTTGGGGCGAACCCTCAGGAGCTTAAAACAAGAACCCATTGCGCAAATCGCAATGCTACGATCTACCTTCACACTTTGCGATTTCCCATTTTGAGGATTACAAGGTGGGAAGTGTCGTTTCTCTCTCTTTCTCACTCCCGTTTTCAGGATGTATTGACAGGAAATGAGAAAGCGAGCTAACATGTCGAGGATTGTATGAGTTGCAAAACAAACGTGAGAGACAATAATGACTGGTATAGCTGATGAAGAAGTCATCCAAGGCCCTAGGCTGTTGTTTTCTATGTATTTAGTTGCAAACAAACAAGAAACGTGAGAGACAATAATGAAAGGTACAGCTCATGCAGAAGTCATCCAAATAATGTTAGCATATAATTCCAGGCTCCAGGCTGTTGTATTTCGACATTATAATCATGTTTATCTCTCTCACTTCATTTTATTTATCTTCGTTATTTCTGTATTTCAATATGCTAGAATTGTATGGGAGATGCAACAGAGATGACAAATAGAAGTGCGGTGAGAGAGACAGAGAAGACAATGCGAGTGAATGCAATGGGTTCTTTCCGGGCAGGCTGTGCATGGTCTCGCTACTTGGCGCTGTGGCGGTGTCAAGTTTCAGTGTTTAGACCACTTTCGAATGCCTCACTTCCTGGAGCCCTCAAAACGTCCAATTTTTAGTTCGCCCAAATGCCTGTCCCAAATTGTATTCTGACAGCTGGGTGCTAAATCCGGAGGGGGGGTCTGGAACAATTAATCCTTTTTCAAATACCCTGTTGGTTTCCACTTGACGCACAAAACAAATACCCATCCTCTGTTGGTTTTCTGGGGATTAAACACATTGGCTATTTCGTAATTAGCCAATTGGGTGTGGCGCAAAATTAAAGACCTAGGGTTACGCATGTTTTAGTGTTCATTTCCATTTATCAAGATGCCACTCTACGTGTTTTTCTCAGCCACAGCCAACTGGCTCCAGAGGAACCATCGGGGTCACTGGCCAAAGCCAGCCTGTTTCAGAGCTTGGTCATGGTCACCCCGGCTCAAGATGGGATCCCGAAAAGTGAATCACTGCTGCTCGATTCGAGGCGCTGAACTGGGCGACGAATGGGCGCTGAACTGGGCTGCCCCCAGCTTTGCCGGAAGTGACCTGAACTTTGAGTGGCTTACATCGCTTACATGGCGACTACCACACCAACAAAAAACGCCCAAAAAGCGAAGGAATCAGATGGCTGGGAACCGCCAAGTCATGAGTACCATCGAAGCCAAAGAAACTTCTCGCGCAAGAAAACAGCTGTGCTGGAGACAAACGCGCCGGGGATGTTGAGTTTTGGCCTCTCAGTCTGGCCTTGCGTTGAGTCGGGGAGTGACCGAAGCAGTGACCGAAGCAGTGGAAACGGCTGTCCTGAGTTTAGAAACCTCACATCGGGCTTGCGTAACGGGTTATGGCTAGAACTACTTGCCGGGACTTTGCCAGGTCAGGTCTCAAGTGTGCAAGCGACGTGGGACTGACTCGGTAAGGGAAAGAGGAAGATCCTGCATGATTCAGTGAGGAAGATCCTGACTCAGTGAGTGAGAAAGCATGATACATCAGTGCAACAGCGAGCAAAGCAGCGAGCAAGTGGAAAAAGAACTGAGGCAGTAAGTCAGAAAGATTGCTAGTGGCAGTAGCACATCAGAGACTAGGTGAGAAAGCCGGCTAGCAATCTCAGTCAACTCAGTACTATCGGAAGCCAGCAACCACGCTCACTCAGCCAGGCAGCCAACCAGCAGGCTCTATGAAAAACAAAGGCACACAAATGCGTCTCCACGTTCAACAGCGGCGCTGATGCAATGCTTGCACCTTTTTCAGGGCAGAGAAGCTTGAAAACCGGAAGCAAGCTCAAAGCTGCCCACATAGCCCGTTTACCCAACCCCTCGTGCCCGTGCTAGTTCACTGCAAAGCGCTGACTGTTGAGCGCCAGCCGAAGCCATCTGCCCCTGTGTTGCGGTCGCCGCACGTATCACCGCAGAACGTACGATACCTCTTGTTGCCTCGCAGCGACTGAGTTCAATGATGGAGGCATTTCCGCATGCGAGAGCATGAAGGTCTTGGCATCGCGGCACGCATGTCGTGCAAATGAGAAGCGCAAGCTCTATCCTTTTTGGCCGAGGCCTTGAGCAACCGACATCCAAACAGCCATCTTTTTTGTTTCTCCCTTGTCGCAGATGCGTGTTTTACCATGTTTTGTGGAGGGCTGAGTGAGGCAAAACTCTTGGCCTTTCCCATGTGGCACAAAGCAGAGGGTCCATTTCGAGGTGACAAACTTACCCACAACTGCACCAGAAATTCTTCTCCACGTCTTCGGATTTGGATCCCGACTCCTCACGCCGGTTGCTCCTGGCGCGTTGGTGTGCTGTGTTGAAATGGGGAGACTTAAAGGCGACTTCAGCACACTCTGAATGTTGCAATTACACTGGGGCAACCTCAACTTGGCTAAACATAATGAGTTTCTTGCAGCAAAAGAAGGACGGACATGCTGGACAAATGCAGGTTTCTGCGATCGCAGGTTTGAGACCAACACACAGGCCCGAAAGCCTTTGGCACCAACATTCTGAACTCAAGAAGGCTACCCTCTCACGCTCGGCTAGCGCCGGATTTGTTTGCGTCAAAAACTGCAATGTCATCTGTTCGTGGCATGGCGGACGGGGCGGACGGGGTTGGGGCGAATTCGCTCGACTGAAGTTGAGAACGTTCAGCATTTTGCATTCTTTCAGCTTCCCTTCAGCTGGTGGTTTGGATTGGTTTGGAGAAGGGATGGTTTCCACATACTGTCTACAAGAAGGTCAAGTCCCACCAGCCCCGAACCCTAAACCATGAAACCCCTAGCCCCAAAACCCTAAACCCACCAATTCAAACCACCTAAAAGGTCACCTGATTCTCGCTTGCCCAAACCAGCGAAACCAAAAGCTTAAAAAAGTTCGATTCGCCGAGGGGCGAGGTATTTCTGGGTGTGGCTCTATTTGCTAGGGCTCCATTTTTGGACCGATCCCTATTTTTGAGCCACCCCGATGTCCAGTGGTCATGGAAAAAAAGCCCCCCTTTTTGGTTGGTTGAGTTTCAATTGGAACCCTTACCTAACAAGAGTTGAAGAACAAAAAACGGGCACCACTGGGCAACTGGGATATGAAGGTCTCACTGGCTGAGTGGATGGCCCAAAAAAGGCCAAACTTTATATTTACCAAACAAATTCCAAAAAAGTTTCAAGTTCAAAGTTCATGAAAAAAGGTCTTCCCAAAAAGTTTCAAGTTCATGAACTCAGGAAGTGAGAGGTGTTGCATCCCTAAGCTCAGGCCTGGTCGAGGCCCGTGAGGACACCGAGGGTCGCGACATGGACTGCACCGACTGCACCGACTGCACCTCTGGCTCCGGTTCCTGTTGCAGCGCTGGCGCCTGGCAGACATTCGGCCAAGGGAGAGGATTGCTTGGTGCAGAAAACGCGGTGTTTCTGGACTCCAGTTCCTCTAGGGGTTGATTCCTTGTCCATTCTGTCCAACCATCCTTCCTTTCAAAAACCGATCGCTATTTTCCCTGGGCTTCCGGAGGTTTTCTAGAAAGATTCGGATTTGTGGGTTCAGAGTGGAAATGGAAAAGGTAGCCCTGTTCCAGTTTCTCTGGGCGGGCCCCTTGTTTTGGGAACTGGCCTTTCTTTCCTGACTCTGGACCTGTGGGTTGTGCTCCCCCAAAAAAACAAATGAGGAGAGGATCTTGGTTGACGTTGGAAGGGGAGCACAAACTCTCAATTTTTAGCTGTTAAGTGGGGATTTCAACCACTAAACCACAAAAAGCAAAGATGTAAAATGTTTCCAAACAACAACCATGGGATGGTGGGACCTTGTACCCCTTGCGATCTTTCGGAAAAGATGGGAACACGGAAGACGCGATCCCCCTTACTGCATATGAACATGTCTTTTTACACTGGAATGTTTCTGTGCTTGAGAGCGCAACTATGCAGGCTGCCACGGAAGCACGAAGAAGGATGCGGTTATCGAAGCGCGGCCAAGTGCCCTCCCTTTTGCCGGCCACTGCATGACATGCTCTGGAGCGTGCAAATGGGCTGTTTGCACCTCTAGCCAAAATCCCGCGTGAGGAAAGGCGGTTTGGCAGCCTGAACACTTGATTTGCAAGTGCCAACAGACAACCGTGAAGCTGTCACGCCGACGCCGGTCCGGCTCTGAGGGCGTATCTTAACGCCCCAGATGCTGATTGCAATTGAAACACGAATCCTTTGAAAAGCCGCCAAATTCGCTGCAAGGGAGCTGACAGGACCCCCATGGTGTAGCATGCCTTCGGCTGAGGGCCGCAGGATGCGAAACGCGAAGCTTTCTTCGCACGGACTAACTGACAGGCGCTTCGCGCTCTGGCCCCGCTCGTCACGGCGTGTGGAGCTATACCGGGGTGGCCATAGCTGACCATAGGTGTCCTTTTGAAAGGGATGGCGTTGGGAAATGATCAGAACCAACTGTAACCAGTGCCATCTAACTCCGACCAAACTCACCTAAGGACACCTATGGCATAGGAAACACGGCCAAGCACAAGTGAGCTGCACTGCAAAGAAGTCAATATTCAATCCACTGGATTCTGGAAATGAAGGGTGTCAAAATACAGAGAACCCAAAAGATGGTGGTTTGTTTTTGGTTTCCCTCTATAAACAATTTGAACATGCACACCAACACCGGTCTGCACAGCTGGTCAGCAGTTATGCAGATTGGTTTGAAGAATCGGGCAAGGAGAGTCTTTCAAGACTCTTTGCATTGCAGCGATGGTAATCCTTTCTAGACAACGCTCCAGTAGTGCTAAAAGCCCCCAACGGCCATTACGTGAGTACTAAAAAGCCTCGTTGCTGTCTCCAGCCCCTTCACGTCGTGCAAGGATCGTTTTTAGAAGGGGCCTGAGCTGCAACGGAGGTCTGTCACTTCAGCCAGTTTTGCAGGTCTCAAGTGAAGGCAATGCGCAAGTAGGCAAACTGAACTGCGACAGGGAGTGCTTGCGACCTCAATCTTCGCAAGACATCCATCTCATGCTGATCACTTGCTGGATCTGCAGAGGGCTGCTTGACCCAGTGATCCGGATCCCCTCTAAAATGGGTCAGCCCCCTAATCTACCATCTTTGACGCCAAATGACATAAAATCGTTGGTTTCTCTTAGGCGGCTTGTAGAAATACTTGGCGACCGTCACGATTGGGGGACCACTTGTCGTTCTGTCCAAGACATGGGCATTTGTGTGATTTAGAGATGATGGGCACCGTTGTCACTGCTATGCTAATCTGCACGGGCGATTATGTTTGTGTTCAAAAAGCTCCCAACAGAAACACAAATAACAGTTTTGGGGATTTGCAACCGTTTTGAGGGATTCTTGCGGATTGTTGCAGCGAAATCAGGCGAGGAACCCACAACAGGCACGGGCACAAAACCTAGGCGACCTGCAGTTCCGTTTCTCTAGCTCCCGAATATCCATCGGTTGCACATACATGCAATAAGTGGTGTTTCTCGCTTCAGAGAACATGTCGACAGTCAAAAGCAACGACGACGAACACCACGTGATTTTATCATTTTGGGGTGTCGACCCCATTCAGCAAAAAAAAGTGCGAGCGAGGCGCTCGCTAAGAGAGTCGCACCTGTAAAGGCCATACCCTCCATTTGTTGGGATAATAAAATTCCAGAGTGCTCATTACACATATGTATCGTATGCCACCACACAGATACACATATAGTATTGTATGCCACGAGTGGACTTTGTCGATGGAGCAGTTCTGCAAGTGAATCGCAGCTAAGTCAAACAGGAAACCTTTGCATCTCTTACCTCTCGCTCCCTCTCTCTCTTTCTCTCTCTCCATCCTCCCTGTGACGTCTCTCACGTGCTTTGCTCATGGTCAGCCTCCCGGGCTGCTGGGATGTTTGCCACGGGTGCTTTCTTCCCGAATTCGAGGAGGGTGCTGGTTGTGTAAAGTGTTTGTTCATTCATGGGGGAATCACAGTCTTGGCATGTCTTTCTGCCCCAAAAGCGTCTCTCGCAAAATAGTGGTCCCCGAATATGCTTGGGTTTCCCTTTGCATACCAACATTTCCAACCAAATGCATTTTGGCACACCCCCAGCTTGTGCATCCGTGCTACTGTCAGGATCTGGGCAGTTCAAGTTCCAAAGGTCCGTCACGCCCACGGTTTCAGCCGGGTGTGACTGGCAATGCAAGCCTCGGACACGGTAAGGGCACTAACCCCAGTTCCTTGGATTACAATGGTTATAAACTTACTGCTTGGGCTGAACATCCAAGTACGTGTGGGACATCAGCCAAGCACAAGCACAGCACATGTACACAACATGCATTAAATTGCAAGATGCTGCAACAATGGCAATCTTTGGCAAACATAACATTCAGCGACGAAACTCTGTTCAACACAATCTGAACTCAACGTCTCTTGTTTGATCACCATCGCATCAACTCTGTTTCCAGTGTTCAAACGAAATCGTTTTAAGCACATCTGCATCCAACTCTTCTCCGAACACCCATTCTTTCCGTGTCAGGGCTCAAGCAGTTCTTCTAAGAGGCTTTGACACCCAGATCCCAGCTGATATGCACAACCGACAAGCCAAAAATCCACGTGAACTCGCAACAAAGAAGCACTCTAGAAAAGATAGCCCAACAAAAACATGAGGCTGTAGTCCGCTTTGGTTTGGACCATGCAGAAACCCTAAAATTTTGGGACCTGGGCCGAGCAAATCGTTTCCCCCGTCGTCTTCGGCCGAGGAGCTGAGTTTCTCTCCGCCGCTGCGAAACTGGGCGCGTCGAGCTTGCAAGCTGTCACTGTCCGTCCTGGCGAGAGGTCACGAGGTCCCCGCAGCCGCGGGGCCTCCGTGGAATTGAACGAACTCCTGCTTAATGAGAAAGAAACCCCATGAGAGAAACCACCTTTGCCAGGGTCAGAAACTTCTTTTTCAATTTTCTTATTTTAAACCTCGCGTTCTTTTACCAGTGGTGCTTGAAACCGCGGGACAAGGAGGGAACAGCGCCAAGGGGAAAAAGAGCATGGGGCAGTATTGGATCCTCACATCCAGCTGTGTCAATCAGCAGGAACTCTTCCAACTTGCAACAATGCAGAAATGCAGTAGCCATCCGTCTTGACTGACAATAATATGCCAGTGATTGTACTGTCAATATATGTTGTACAGGTTCACCGTCGTATTTTCAGAGTTGGAATCCCCAGCTATTTTAACATGTTTAAACCAGTTGTTTGAACATCCTTATCTATGTTTCCCTTTGAAGGGAGCCATGGTGCATTTGTTTAAACCTTTTCTTCTTTGCTCAACCCTGGCTTTTGGTACCATCACTTCCTCCGCAACACACTCCCTTGCATGTGCCGCTGGTTGTCAGTCACCATTCTCCCACTCTGGGTCAACCCCGCCTGGGTTCTTCCACCGTCTTGGCGGGACGCGCGTCTTCCAGGAGGTTCGGCAACGACGCCATCGCCCAGGTGCGGCGAGTTCGCGAGCCAAGCTGAGCCAAGGCGAGCTGCGCATGTCGCTGGCAGTCGAAGCAACTCGGTGCAGCTCGCGGAGCAAATCGCAAACTTGTTGTTTTCTTGGTTTTTGTCGGATTTTGTCGGTTTTGTCGGATTTTGTCAGATTTTGTCGGATTTTGTCAGTATCCGGGTCCGGCAGTGGAAAAGGAGTCCGACTCCAAACACAGATGGGCTCAAGGGCTCAAGGTGATCTCCTTGTGATCTCCTAAACGCTCAAAAGGGATACCATGAAGATTGCACACACACACACATTGATTGTTGCCATTGCTCCATCGCCTCGAAGACGTTGGCCATCTGGAACTCCGATGGCGACATGCTCAAGGACCTTAGTGATTGAATTGTGACGAGTGTCTGCATGAGTTGTCACACTTCATCTCTGGAATCGGCCTTTTCAATCTTGATTTGGGTTAGTTTGCTTTTGATTGGACTCCCCCTCGTCGACATTAACGCAATGGCTCTGAGCAATCTTTCTCCAAGCTACGCAATGCCTTTGCGGTCTTCGCGCAATGTCGCGCAATCTCTCTGCACAATGCCTCTGCTGAGTTTCGAATTTCCGATTGCCTGCAACTTCTGAATCGCACAGGGTACCATTTGAGGATGCTCCCTTTCACCCGAAGGGCGGCCGCTGGGTATTTGTGTTGAAGCGGATCTTCGTCTGACCCGGGCTTCGGGCTGTACACTGCCTTGCCGCAGCACGTCCTCTCAAAGCAAGTGGGCCCGCAAACCACAAGGGGCTTCGCGGGTGAGCCCGAGGTTAAAGGGGTTGAATGGATGTTGATAGGGGTTCAATGCAAATTTTGAGATTCATGAAACCTAAAGGAATTGGGTGGTCTGTACAGTGGATGTCTTGAGAACACTTGGGTGCGGTCCCCATGTTTGTCCCAGATCAGCAGACTGCCCAAACATATCGTTGGTTGCTCATATGGGTGCTTTTCTCTTGTAGCTGCCCCCTGTGGATTCCCTTCAAAACCACCCCAAAAAGGGGGTACCCTCAAAAAAATAGATTTATCCATATGTGGGTGAAACAGCGTGAGGGCTTGTGCCAAATGGGATGCAATGTGAGTTTTGCTCGCGGAGCGGTGATGCCTCTAAGTGAGTGAGCAAGCCTTGACTCTTGACCTACTCTTCCCACTACGGTTGCCCCTCTGGACTCACGAAACACATTGCAGCTTGTGCTCTTCCCATCAGTGCAGGACTCAAGCAGGGGTTCTTGCATCACTAAACGCTAACGCCAAAACTGCGGTGTCCCTTTCTTGCTTGCTGTTGAAGAAGATTCACTTTTTGTGGGTTCAACTGAAAACCCTTGATTTACAAAAACGTTAAAAAACTAAAGATCCTAGGTTCTTCAGTAGAGGGGTCAGAATAAGGGTACCCCTTTTTTCTGTAGTCTATTTTAGTAGGGGACCGGGGAACCCTCCCCCAAAAAACGGGTGAGAAAGGACACTACTGGGGGACCTAGGATCCAACCCAATAACAAGTTCGCTTTGATCCGATGGGTTGAAACTTGACACGTCCGAAATCTGTTTATGAGCGCCGAAATGAAACCCTTTGATCCGAGGCATCAAACAATGTCCAGCAAACTCCCCCAAAGGATGCTTCGGACTGTCCACGTCCACCCCGTTGGGATGAGTATTCTTCTCCCAAAACGCCCGGCTTTCCTTTTTGGTTTCCGTCCTCAAAGGCTCCAAGGGTAGCCTCGAAACAGCGCCCAAAGGATACGAAGCCTTAGCAACGCTTCAAATAGGGTCTGGTGTTTTCTCTGTCCCAATGCTCCCATTCGCTCAAAGTGATGGACACTCAGCTGGCTGGCGGGCAAATCTGGTGCCGAATAGGGTGGAAAATCTAAAGAACTACCCATCTGCAGCTGCTTTTCTTCTCCCAGAATCTAACTACGACGCACCCTCTGAACCTTGCTGCCGTGGCCTATGATTTGAGTTTCCCAACATGTGGGACCACTGGCTTCCTTTTTAATGTAAACCGCTTGATTAATAGGGCGTGTTCCACTTAAAGTGGGAAGCCCTGCGCTTGAGGAAGCACCCGTTGGTCGATATCACCAAGAAGGGGGGATCGCCTATCATGGTTGCTCCAAACGACGGGACAAGGGTAGATGTTTGTTCTTTGTAGAGGAAAAGCAAGGTAAGTCCACTTCTTATCCTTGTGGCTTCTTTTGAAGGCTCAAGGCAACTCCCCACTTTTGGCCGAATTTTAGAAGCACCGCACACGAAATCGCGCGAACTCGCACAACCAAAACATGCCTCGAGCTGCATGTAGGCCATCCGGTGCCGTTCCTGCGTGAAAACGGATTCGCAAACGGGGTACCAGGAGCGACCAAGGGGTCCTTGACGTCTTTTTTCAGGGACCCCCCCCCCAAACAAAAGAGGTACTAACTCCAAAAAAGACGAGCCACCCACATTTTGAACCATCACCCTTGCTGAAATAGATCCGCCGACCCCTTTCTCCAAAGGGGAGGCGCATGGGAAGGGTTTGGGTGATGGTTCACAGCATCCGGGTCATTGTCAAAACCCATTAGACCCGACCGGAAATGCAGACGATGCGTTGTCATAATTGTCATGATAACTGCTGCTGATGCTGGGGATGCAAAGTGATTGATGCTGAGGAAATCATCATCATCATCATCATGCTGGGGATGCATAGTGATGATGTTAACTGCTGGTGATGCTGAGGATGCGGAGTGATGATTATCATCAGGATGATGATGATGATGATGATGATGATGAACATGATGAGGAACACGATGATGAAAATGATCATCATTTTCATCATGTTCATCGTCAAACTGTGGTGAACATGATGATGATGATGATGAACATGATGCTGAAAATGATGATGGTGGTGTTTGTTCATCATCATCATCATCATCATCATGTTCATCATCATCATGTTCATCATCATCGTCATCATCATCATCATCATCATTTTCATCATCATGTTCATGTGTGCCGTTAGACCTGACTTGAAATGCAGGGGATGCATAGTCATGATTGTCATAATAACTGCTGGTGATGCAGGGGTGCATAGTTCATCATCTTCATGATCATCATCACCATCACCATCTGATTGCATCCCGATGGTGTTTCTAGCGGCTTACTTCTCGCGAAGACGAAGCGATGACACAATGTCCACACTTCGCATCCACAGCAATACATCGAAGTCTTGAGAACAAAAAAAAGGCTCCCAACATGGTTTTCCTGCCCGAGTTTCCACACATCCGGGGCACTTCTTGTAAAATTCAACAAGGTGCTTATTATCCTGCGAACTTATCCCGCAGTGGCTTGCTTGAGATGCAGGGAAGGCGTCGTCATAATTATCAGAACAACTCCTGGTGATGCTAAAAATGCAAAGTAACAATTATCATCATAACTGCTGGCGATGATGCGAATGCATAGTAATAATTCTCAGCATCCTTAATGTTGGGTAAAAACTGCATCATCAAAAACATCATCATTTTCGTACTGCTCCTTAAGTGTGCCGTTAAACCCGACCAAAAATGCGTAGTCACAATTGTCATAATAACGTCCCCTGTCAGCAAGCAGGGGCCGGCGGCACGGGACGGCAGCCCTTAAATAAACATAATATATATATATATATATATATAAATATATATATATATATACTGTGTATATTCAATATGGTTCGTGCATATCCGCCTCCTTCCCCCAATTCCATTGGTGGGTATGGTAGCAAATCACGCTGATATGGTTCATGCCCATGACTACTTTACCACAAGGATTCCGTGGTATCACAGGAAGGAGCAGCTTCAACCCTCAAGCCCAGGTGCTGTTTGGAAAGTGCACTGGTAAATGAAACACCTCAAGCCAAGCTGAAACCAGAACCTATTTTCAACAAAACTACCGACGTCTTATGGGTGGTGCGGCAGGAATGCAACTTGCAGAATATTCAACGTCATGCAGCTTCAGGTTAGCGTTCAGGGGGCCCTAAATGGTGATTCTCTTCTTGAAACCCCAAAAAACAAACCCTCTCGCCGCAACCGCCAGTTTGCATGGATGCGGATCAACCCCAACTTCCTGACATGTCCAGGCCACGATTCCATTCAAAGCCTCATACAAACCGCTCCAAATCGGAAGCAACGCAAAACAACGCCCAAAGGTTGCCGTCCCTCCGTTGCAATGGCACAGCGAAATGTGCCCCGGGAAAAATAGTGAGGCAAATACCTTTCCAGGTGCCTTTTTTGTCTTTTGCAGGTCGGCTTTCTCCTGCAAATATGGTTGTGGGTCAAAACCAATGGTACCATTTTCGGGTAGGTGCACCACCCATTTTAGTCTACTTTAGTGGGGATTGGGATGTTCAATGGGGCTACGGGCTTTTGACCCATGGCCATATATGTACCATTGGGGTTTCGTCCATCCTGGGTGCATCCAGGTAACATCTCTTTGTCTGTGAGGGACAATGACTGGATCGCCTGTAAGTGCCCAAACTTTGTTGGCACAGAAGTTGGTCCCAAAATCTCCCCTCCCTCCGCTTTCCCCAAATGCTTGGGGTCAACACAATTTCCAGCCCTTTGTGGGGGTGTTTCCCTTTTGTTTCCTCTCTGAAACCAACCAAAAGAAAAACCTCCAAAAACGGACGCATAGCCATGGGTCGGCATCCCGTACTCCCAGCGAACATCCAAATCCCAACTAAAACAGGTTCTAAAATGGGTGGTGAACTCACCTACCAACCAAAATGGGATCCCAAAACGGCTTTGACCCACAGCCAAATCCCCATGTTCATGACATCAAAGGGGAACCTTGGGAGATCTATGGCCGCCATGGTTCCCCAACCCCCCTACAACCAACTCCCTTGCCACTAAAATTGGGAACCCCCCCAAAATGGTTGATGTCCTTTTGAAAACTTTTCCTCTCTGAAACCAACCAAAAGGGGGACCTCCAAAAAAAATTGGACACACCCTTGCGGTATCCCCTTGCCAGTTTCCAATCTACGGGAAGCGCTTCCGCGCTTCAGTTCGGATCCTGGGAGCGCCGAAGCCGCTCCATGAGCTCAGCCTCCTCCCGCTCCATCCTGGAGCCCCAAACCACCCGCTAGGTGTACTGACAGGGGGGAGTGGGAGCGGAGGGGGGGGGGGTGAGGGCAAGGGGGGAGGGGGGGGGATGGGGGGGGATGGGGGGGGGAGGTCGTGTCCTTTTTGGTTGAAAATAGACGGATTTCCCTGGTAGTTGATTGAACCACCAGGTGAACCAGGGCCCTCTATTTCTCAACCAAATCAACCAAAAAGGACACCTATGCCCGCTAGAGAGGTACTTTATGTGGGTGGGGACCTTAAAATCAAGAGCTAGGCAAACTGCATGTTTTAGTCTTTGGTTTCATTTTCTTTTTCGCGCCAGTTTGGTACATTCTTGAGCCACAGCCATGTCTACTTTGACCTTGGTCCCTTGCTACCCTTCGATGATTTAGGGGTAAAAAACAAGAACACCATGTAGCTCCTAGGGTACCAAGGGCCCTTCTTACACGCAAAAAGCTCGCGATCGCTGCGATTGGTAGGGAACGAGAATTGGAATGAACCCAGGCTTTGGTCCACGAAAAAAGAGGAAACCACCAGTTGGATGGTGTGATAATTTATCTCAGGGTCATTCCAATTCTGACTTCCCTGCCAATCGCAACAGCTTTCGAAAAAGCCGTGCCAAAAAGGCAGAGATGTTCTCGCTTTCGATCCAGTGGACTGGCCAAAAAACAGCTCCCAAACCTCGTAGATCTAATTATTCACAGCTAAAATGGTTCAACCCACCCCCGAAAAGTCGAAAGTGCAGGAACTCGGGAAGCGTGTTTGAGGAAACGTTCAAAAGTGATGCATGACATTTTTGCAGGTATTGAACAACATTGTGACCTATCTTGCGACCCCTTTGGGGGTATGCCTTTGAGCCAAAAGCTTTGTGAATTTGGGACATCCGGAACTGCGTCGGGAACCCTTGCCAGGCAAATGTTCTGGTATCTCACTGCCTGCCCTATTTCAATTGCGGGCTGAAAGAGGCATTTTTTTCAAAGCTGGTTTCTCACTGCTGCGAACTCTCGGGCATTCACACCTTAGCTCAGATCCATTGGCATGAGGCTCAAAACTGAGCATTCTTCATGGGCTAAATCATCCCATGCAGGGTTGAAAAGGACATGGGTGGCTCGTGTGTTTTTGAAGGTACCCCTTTTCTCGTTGGCTTTTCGAAGGCAACCAAAAGGAACAACCCCTTTTTTTCCCTGGGGGGGTCGTTAATAATAATAATAATAATAATAATAATTAATAATAATAATAATAATAATAATAATAATAATAATAATAATAAACGAGCCTGCCCGTATCGCATGCCCGAAATTCAAAAGAATCAGGGCTTTTTCCTGGTGACCTTTACGGGTTTTTGTGGCATAGTGAGGTGCAGCTAGGAACGCTTGAGGACATGTTTTGGTAGGGAACCAACGTTCTTAGCAAAGGACCTTTCGATGAAATTGGTTTTTGGTGGACCTCTTTTGGTTTCGCAGCTCAAGGGAGATTTAAACGTGGTCCACTTAAAACGCTGGTCAGCTGCTCATGCGGGTGTTTCTCAAATTGGGGACCCTGGTGGTTGGTTTCCTGTTAGTTTCCTGCCAAACCATGCTGTTGACCCCAGACTAATCAACCCTAGTTTATTCCAGGTCCTGAACAGAGAGGTTAGAACAAGGGTACCCTTTTTTCTGTATCTATTTTAGTAGGGGACCCCTCCCCCAAAAAAGGGTAAAAGGGCACTGCTGAAAACCTAGTAATATTAGGGGGGTTCCTCTCCAAAAGGATTCCTCACTCAACTCAGGGCCACCAAAACCTCTTAATCAAACTGGGGTGTATTACTTTAATCCGGAGTCGTCATTACCAAAAGGGGATCCCTACTGTGGATGGACGATATCCTGCACCGCTTTGAAACCAAGGGAGTCCGCTGTTTGTCGGTATTTGCAGGGGAATCGAATCATTCCGTTGGGTGTTTGAGGTGGTGCGCAATGGATTTCGCAACCATCCACAGTATTTTGCGAAACTCTCACGCCCATTCCCCTCCAAAAGTGATGATTCCTCACTCAACTCACCAAACCCTATTAATAGACTGGGGTGTATTCATCTTGAGTTGTGACCCTACCAAAAGGGGATCCCTATCTTGAGAAACCCTCTCACGCGCTTGCCGCCCACCTCACCCACCCACCCCACCCACCCCACCCACCCACCCCACCCCACCCACTCCACCCACCCACCCCACCCCACCCACCCCACCCTCCCCGCCTCTCGATCTCGGAGACGCGCTGCCGCCGCTCGTCCTCCTCCCGCACCATGCGCTCGCGGATCACGTCCTTGGCGAGCTCCTGGCGCAGCGGGCGCTGGAGCGACCCATGGGTTCCAGGGCTACCTTCCACAGGGATACCTATAGGGTCTCCCCTTAAAAGAAACCACGTATTGTTTATAGGGGTCATTCCATTTTTCATTCCCTGCCTATACTCAGTTGTTCAGTGACCCTGCAAAAAAAGGGAACCCTTTTTGGGGCTTGGACCATTTAAGTGGGGCCTTACCAAAAAAAAGGGAAAAATAATTGGTGCCACTGAACAACTGAGTATAGGCAGCGAATGAGAAATGGAATGACCCCTATAAACAATACGTGGTTTCTTCTAAGGGGAACCCTAGGTTCATTCCCAACTCCAGGAATGGTCATTCCATACTGAGCACCAGCAACAGGGATCCTTACCTGACAACACCTGAACAGTGCATTGTAAATGCTGGTTTCAACCTTTCTTTTGGTGTTGAAAAAGCAACATGATTCAAATGGTTGCAACTTGTATCCTTTAAGGAGCCCTGTTCCATTTCGGCTACCTGGAGCGGTCCCATGTAAACTGGTGGGAGGGTAACTTAAATATAGTGGCTGCATATCCCATTTCACACCATTTCTCGAAATGGTGCAATGGTTGGGTGAGCCATATTCTAGGGCTACCTTCCATTTCCATTCTTTCCAGGAATTCGAATCCTTCCAGAAAACCTCCAGAAACCCAGAGAAAAAACAGCGATCGGTTTTGAAAAGAAGGTTTGAACAGAATGGACAAGGAATCAACCCCTAGTTCTATCAATGTCAAGGTTTGAGTCACCTGTGAAAAGCTGATTGGACAAGAAGTAGCGGCCAAATCTGCAAATTTGGAAGGGACCCTTCAGGAAGCCTTAGGGAAGCCTTGGGGAAGCCTGAGGGAAGCCTTGGCGGAAGCATGCTTGCGGAAAGCTTCGCAGCTCGACTCTATCAAAGTCAGGGGGTCTCTTAGGTTGAGCTTAGGAAGGCTTAACCTATCTACCTCAAGACAAAGGGGGGGCAGGGCGCTACAGATTTTCATGAAATCAGGAAAGGAAGCGGACAGAAGGCGACATCCACACTTGAGGGCTGTCATTCTAGTCTCATAAGGAACCTATTGGCGCGCCAAATGCAAAGCGCCCTCTTGTCGAATCTGTGGTCAAGCACCACGTATCGCATTCGAATCGACGTGCGGGCCATTTCTCGCGACGCGCACACCCCGTTGATTTATTTTGTTTCGTCTTCTCAAGAAACCCAAAGGGGCGGTTTCCATGCTATCCCCTTTGATGACTGATGCAAAACAGATTTGGCCTTTGACTGACATCATATTCACAGCATATTCTCAACATCTGCAATGACACGATATGCCTCTTTCAGTCCAAACACATCTCAGTCAACAAACCACGCATGGCCAACCCTATGGGCATCCCGACAAGGATATTTGGGAGGACGCCGTAGGTCATGCTTCTTTTTGTTCAGCAACTTCTCAGAAATGACACATGTTTCCTCAACTTCAAGAAGTCTTTTCTTGGCACTTTGAGAGAAGTGACTCTTTTCCAGTCACAGTGGCTGCTTGTAGCCCACGACATCTCATTTCAGCTTGTTGGAGCAGCGCAAGCACAATTGAGATAGATGCCCACCCAATGTAAGCCCTTCTGAGTCAGTTCCGCCAAATTGCACCCATTGCACCCAATACATTTGGAAACGCTTCACTTATTGGGGGGCACCAACATGTACAGAAAGTGTGTTTGCCATGACTCAGGATGTCCGAAATGCATGGTCAAGAGTCGCAGTGGCAACTTGGAGTAAAGTCACATAAACAACTTGTGGGAGTGGCATGAACAACCCTAGGCAACTATGCCGAACAAACGGAACTTTGAGCTAGCACTTCTTTCTTGTGAGCCAAATTGCTGCTAGCCTGCGGAAAATCAACGACGAAGGGTTGGGCGTCCTTGGTGCCTGCGCTGGTGACTCAACTCACCCAGCTGTGAGTAACCACGGCCAGCTGTGCAAAAAGCTAGTCACTTGCAAAGCGGTCATTTTTTTCAGTCAACAGCCAGTTCATGGAATTTTCAAGCAACTGGGCTGCGAAAAACCTATCCCTCTTGGTTTGGTGTGGCAAATCCCCCCGTGTCGCCCGGTTGGCGCGGCTTCGGCGGCGCCTGCTTGGCGCCCTCCGAGCGCGCGCGGCTGCGCGCGGCGCGGTCCATGGCGGCCCGGACCTCGAAGCCGAGGGGCCATGGCGCCATGGGACCCCAACCCAACGTAAGGGCTGACCCTAAACCCTAAACCCTTGACTTCCCAGAATGCACTTTCCTAGCAGCTCCCCCGTCGATCCATGTTACGGGGCCCCCGATTTTTTTTTTTTTTTTTTTTTTTTTTTTTATGAGGGGTGTGGTCTCCGGTTTTTTCTCTGATTGTAGGATCAAAGTCACCCGCGTGTGGTGGGTTGGAGGGAAGCAACTCCTAATGACCCCAGGGTTCGGGAGAGGTTTCCCATGAACCCCCTACAACAGCCAGAGGGTCACATCCCAAACCAATGCAAACCAAGTAAGGGCCACCTGACCAACGGAGCTGGGAAAAAACCCAGCTGAGAAACACCAAACTGGGCCCCAGAAATTAAAGGATCGACACCTTTTGGGAAGGGAAGGGGAAGGTTTTTTTCTTTGGGGGGGGGGAAGGGGGGGGGGTGAAGGGATTTTCTTTGGGGTTTCTGTTTTTCTTCATTTGCACGAGCCCGCTGCTTTCTGCCTCTTCTTTACATCTCTGGTTTGCAGGGCCAAATCAACTTCGGGGGGGAACATTTGGCGTGTCCCAAAAATCTCGTCCCGTGCAAAGAGATCTTGAGGCGGGTCTGCGTTCCCTTAAGCATGCCCTCGCAAAAGAAGTCGTCTTCCGGCTGACGGGTGGAAGAAAAACCATGGTTGCGAAGATTTATTGCCCATGTCTTGCCCATGTGGCAATGCCTCCAAATTCGGACTCTGTTCGAGAAGCAAAACAAAAACAATCGTCTGAAAGGCTGCAGCACCTTGGCGATTTTGCCAGGACAGCAACTGCGATGGCTTGACAAGTTCCTGCTTGCTGCGTACCGTAGGGGCCCATATGATTGTAATGGAGCCGTGGGGTTACATTCAGTCATGACAAAGGATAATGATTGGTGCAATGATGTCGCCTATTGTAACCCTTCTCGCAAGCTCTTCACAACTTGAGAAGGGGAATGAACGCCAGCAAGGAAGAAACGAGACAGGACTTCACCTGGGGGCAGAGGTACGGGGTGCAAGAGCCTGAACAAGGGAAGTTGAAAAGTGTTTGTGATCCACAAGTTGTTAAAGGTTCACTAACTATTCATTGGGCCACCTTCTCCGAGGGGACTGATCGGTTCGATCAAAGCTCCAGGGCGCATTGGATGATTTGTGACAGTCGCATGCTTCGTGTTTTCCTGAGTTGCATTAGCCTTCCTAAACTCTAAGCAGCCCATCGGCCCATACCGGCTTGCCTGCTCCGCTCGAGCGAAAGCCTCCAGAACACAATGGCACGTGTGAGAGTCGCGAGTCGCACTCTGCAGAGTGAGGCTGAGCCGTGATCGTGTCAACGACTGCATTGGGGGCATGCCAGACGCGGTTCTTTCGTGATGATGTTCTCTGAGGATTCGTTTGTCTTGAGAAAACCGTTCTGGCAATGATTTGCCCAACACACAAACGCTGCCACGTCCTAATGCTGTAACACAGACTAAAAACATGCTAAAAGTTGCAACTGAACAGAACTGCCCATGGATTAAGCGGACTACACGCCCTTGCAATATTCACCCCATGCCAGCCATCAGCAAGTCTTAACCCTGTCGGAGCACTGTGTTCCGTGGCAAACCGATCTCACGCCGACCTACCTGTCGATTCTCATGGCTAGCTTCTTCAGGCCAAAGGGGCCCGGGCTCCAAGCCATTCAAGTCATTCAGTCCAGAGCTGTTGTCACACCCCCAGCGATTCCGCTGAGTCGCGTGCTCAAAACCGATCGGTACAAAGATTCGGTGAACCCAGAACCATGTAAAGAATTGGAAAGGCGGTCGCAACTGGGACTAATTACCCCTTACTAACCTTCCTCTACCCTGGTTTTGAGCACGTGGCTCAGCTGGGATCTTGGACATTCAGAATGGGGCAGCCTTGTAACTTCAGCCGGGAAGGGTAGTGTCTCTCAAGGACGTGCCCACGCGCGAGATGACCAGCTCTCCAAACCACCGTCTTGAGCCATGTACCAAGTTCTTACCGCAACCACTTTTGCAAGGGAAACGGTTCTGGGTGTTGAAACGGGGGAGGTAGAAACTAAAAAAATACCCCTTGCCCTTTGGTTTCATTTGGGGGGAAAAACAGGCGCTGTTTTAAGTGTTGCCTCTGCTGGTCGCTTCTGCTGATTCCAAACCAGGTTGCAGAGTCTAGTGCTATGCATCTTAATCGTTCCAATCGCTTCTCCCCAAGGACCAGGAATTCCTATGATGAAGTCAAACAGCGTTTCTGCAGCCCAAGGCCACACAGCGTGAAAGCTGACACACTCCAAAAGCGTGAGGAATCTCCTGTGAACCGTGGAGAACATCTTCTTCATCTCCTACCCGGCCATCCCCCGCAAAAACAAACAAACAAACAAACAAACAAACAAACAAACAAACAAACAAACAAACAAACAAACAAACACACACACAAACAAACACACACACACACACACCAAAAATAAAAAACACACACACACACACAAACAACAAAAAAACGAACCGCGCAGCGGCGCCTCGTCCGCGGCGGCCTGCTTTTCGAGGTCCAGGATCTGCCGATGCGCCTGGGAAAGGAAAGCCCCGGTGGACGCCCAAGTGGCTTCCGTGGGAGAGGTTCACCCAAAAACTCTAGGAGGTGAGAACTGTCTATGGCTTTCTCAAGAGAGGAAACCAGCTTCCCAAAAAGAAGCTGTTTGGGGGGAAAAACCCGTAATTCTAGGGGTACCTTCCATTTCCATTCTTTCCAGGGATCCTTCTTTCCAGAAAACCACCAGAAACCCAGCGAAAACGGCAGGTGTTTGAAAAGAACGACGATTGAAAAGAATGGACAAGGAATCAACCCCTGGAAAAACGGGTTTCCCGTTGGTTGCTGACCGCAGGTGTACACCATGCTCAGAAACACAAAAATCGGGGCCCGGGGAAAATTCGGCATGAACCCATGCCCAGGAAGCAAGAGTGTGGCCTTGCCCTTCTCCAATGGAGAGGCCTGTTGAAGAAGATTCGTCCAAACCCTCGTTATCCACGATTGGAGGGTTATTATCCCAATTGAGAAACACCTACACCCCCCCCCCTCTGTAACAAGGAGGGAGCTTGCGGCTTCCCTCACAGAGACCAAGTAGACCGAGGCAATTTCCCTCTCTTTCCACGGGTATCCCTCGTGTCAAAACCAAGCACAACATGTCGGTGTCCAGAAGTGTCCATATGCTTTTTTGTGCTCTCGGAAATGCTGGGAACCTGAATACTATAATCTGGACCTTGCCTCGAGGAGAAACACGAGCTGACCCAGGTGAATGGTTGGCTTCCACATGCCTTTCAAGGCATTCACTTTGATGATGTGTTTGGTGGCCCTGGCTTGAAGGAAAGAAAATATGAAACAACACAACATTATATATATATATATATGTATTTCAGGGACCTACCTTTTTCATAATTCACAGGTATTTGCAATGTCTTCTCCCTTGCTTTGGGGTTTTCGTATGATCATATATTTATATATCCATAGGTGGTTCATCCGAAGCCCCGATCAGAACCACTTCTTTCCGGTTCCTTCCGATCTCATGCCTAATTTCAGGGCCCTTGGTTGCCGTTTTCTTCTTCAGAGTACGGGTTGCAGGTTTCCTCCCTTGGTCCATGAAGAAAGCCATAGACAGTTATCACTTCCTTCGATTCGTGAAAACGGACGGGCCTGCCGCTGTTGACGCTGCACCCGGCCACCGGAGCGGTTCTTCTCCTGTATTCTCCTGCTCGCTTCCCAACGAGTTGGTTCTTGATAATGCGGGCGCAAGCTTGGAGCTCGAGTTGCATTTTCTTATTTGGCAAGGACTGTCAGACTGTACTTGATCAACGGGTTCAAACCCAATGCCAATGCCGCATTTCACACCATTCATCAGGCCGTCTGCAAAAGCAACCCTCGGACCAGGCGTTGCTGCGTGCTCTGCATAAAATTGGGTATGAATTCTGATTGGGGACATTTAGACATCACTTAAAAGGGAATTCATATCCACCCACCACTTGCAGTGAAAGGCATTAAACCCGTCTATTCAACAGCATAGATCCATCAGCCTCAAACATAGATCACTCGCAAGATCTGGACTGTTCAAGCAGGACCGGCACATGCTTCAATACAGCATTGTCGAGCGTTGCCGACCAACTGTCCCGGTGTAAACGATAAGGGCCATCGCCAACAGGAACCGCGAGGACTCCATTCGCGGAAAGTATAATTTTATTCGACCAAAAGGTCGTATACAGAGGTCACTGGCTTTCCGCCTCAAAGGTTGCAATTTTCTGGTGTTTTTCATTGAAACTGCCGCTTTTGGAGGTTCCAAAAAGGAAAATGACTCAGACACCGTGCAAAATAATGTTTTTTGCCCAAAATGTGTATCAGGCGTAGTCTTCAGGAACGGACTCGAGCGACATCCCGGCCGCGCTCCTCATCTGGTCCTGGATCTTGTGCTGCTGATCCTCCCGTTCCTAAAACAGGCTGGTGAGAACACACATATATATATATTTGTATACACACACCACGTGAATCACACCGGTTGCACAGCCAGTTGTCACAACGTTCAACATTAGGCTCCCTCTTTGGAATTTGAAGAAAAAACAAACGAGATTGAACCTGCCATGCGAAATTGCCCCCTAGTTAACCTGTACTTCGCACACCCTAGCCCTAAGCCCACATACTCGCTTCCTGAGTGGATTGGCAAAAAGAAACTATTTACTTTCACATGGCCAAAATCAAAAAGTACCAAAGTGCAGGAACTCGGGAAGTGAGGGAACCTGAGGATGCACTTCTTCGACTTTTACAGTATGTGACCCAACTTTTCGGTACTCTTACCCCTTAAAACTCCAAGGATTGGGGAAGTTAATCTTTTACAGACATATAGCCCATGTTACCCAAAAAGTTGAAAAGTTGTGTTTTTAAGAGGTAATAATTTGACCCAACTTTTCGGTACTTTTTGGCAAACAGTTGGGCCCAAGAACCCATCTCCAATCTCCAATTCACAGGCTCCGCAGGCTCAGGGTCCCCCGCCAAGATCTGCTTGGCGCGGAACTCCTGCCGGGCTGCATCCGAAAACCGTCGGCTTCGGAGGCGGAGGTTTCGTTTGGAAGTGGTGACGACTTCGCTGGTTTGGGCGGTTGGAGGTTGGAAGTGGTGATGATTTCGCTGGTTTGGGCGGTTGGAGGTTGGAAGTGGTGATGATTTCGCTGGTTTGGGCGGTTGATCAAAAGGTCCGTCAGACTTGGGATGATGAAAACCAACAACAAATGAGCCTCACCACTTCTCGGTTGCGAAATCTGCTCCCCTGCTAGAAGTGACTAACTTTTAGTGGTTTAATGCAAAACCCATTACTTGGCAAAAAGTTAAAGTCCTAACATCCAAGCAAAATGCACCAAAGGGAAAAGTGGCCCTTGGTCAGAGGCAATTTGATCAGACCACATTTGTGCTGGGCCATGTGCCCGGAGATTGAAGTGGACGTTAGCATCCTGTCAGTGTCCATTGCTGGAAAGAATTCACTCCTTCTGTTCAATCAAAACTGGTCTTGTCGTGGTTTCCCCACAGGGGTTCTTTTGATCAAACTGACTCCACGATTCTTCGACAGCACATGTTGTCCCAGTCAATTCGAGCTTTTGGCTCCAGCTCAGGTCTGGAAGATCTGTCACGAGAGTCATGGCCTTGCGCTCCCTGGTGAACGCAGGGCGAATTCCAGGCCGCGAAGAACATGCCACTCTTGTGCAGCCAAGGGAACAAACATAGAGATCCCGATAGCATCACTGTCCAACGAGTAGCGGAATTCTGAAATTTCCAAAGATTGATTGCCGGTTCTTTTCACCCAAACTCCATTTGGGCTTTTGTGGTTTCTTGTTGTATTCCCCTGAAACTAACCCCAAAAAGGGTATCCTCAACAAACAAAAAACACACACCCATTTCCTTGGTTGACGTTGGAAGGGGAGCAACAAAAATAAATTGTAGCAGCTAAGTGGGGATTTCCCACCAAACCACAATAAGCAAAAATGTAAAATGTTTCCCAACGACAACCATGTTTCCATGTCATCGGACCCCTGAAAAGGAATGAACGTAGCACTGCTGAGGTTCTCGCGGATTCCATGGCCTCCTTCTGGGCCTCGCGACGGAATCGACTGAAAGGTCGTTCCAAGTGGAGCGGTTTTGGATTAAAAGCCGCGTCTCTGGTGGTTTAGTCTTCTAAACCCAGTACAGCAGGGCTGCGGGAAATGATTTCTGTGATACAACAAAAAGAGCCTCCCAAAGACTAACCCCCATATAAAAGGGGGATTCCCTTGTATCACAGAAGTGGGGCTAAACCCCTTGATTCCACAACCCTGCAGTACATCGAGTAGAACCAAACATAAGCGAAGAATCTAGCATGGGACCCAGCTCCTTCCCAGCCGGAAGCCTTGAAGGCGGAAACCATTGGGCCTGAGCCCCTTCCAGGGTCAGTGGTGGGTCAGTGGTGGGCACCCTTTTGGCTGTAAGACGGACTCCATACAACCCTTGGTATGGTTGCAAACAAAACTTCCTCTTTTTTGCAGCCCCCTACTACTTGGTTGACCTTGGAAGGGGAGCAAAAAAACTCAAATTTTAGCAGTTAAGTGGGGAGTTCCCACTAAACCACACTAAGCAAACATGGGAAAAATGTTTCCCAGCAACAACCATGACTAGTTACTAAAAATGGACAGAACCAAACAAAAAAAACACATGCCAGGATCACTGAAGGACTGGAAGCAACATATTTTCGCCCACTCACGACAAAGTCCACGAAAGTGTACAGAGCCCTATTCAAAATTATCCTTCTTTCCTTTCCTTTGGACCCAACAAACACAAACAAGCAACACATATGGTAGTGGTCCTTCTTTCCCCAAGTTTCTTAAGCCTGAAAAGGGGGGGGAAGGCATCTGTGCTTCAGAAACCCGGCTTCCGACCCAAAAACATACCCCGCCCACCAGCCGACTGACTCGCTGCTCGACGAATGACTCGCCTCGAAGGCCTCTTTCTCCTGGCGCCGCAGCTCGTTGCGGCGCCGCGACTGGACGATCTCCTGGCCGCTCAGCTCGAGGGAATTGTCGATTCCACTAATGCTCACTTCCCAAGTTGACTGGCCAAAAAAAGTTTGAACTTTTATTTACCACTAAAATGGTCTTTCCAAAAAGTGTAAAGTCCACCAACTCAGGAAGTGAGAATGACCATAGGTTGAAGCCCAAGGACCTTTTGATCAACCCACAATTGTCAGCTTCCCTCTGGTCTTGCTTGTGCGATGGGTAGGGAACGACAACTTCTCATTCCCTGCTGAGAGCCAGCAAGTGGTTGCTCCCTTAGCTGGACAAAATGGGGAAACCATGACAATCCCGGTGAAAAATGAAAGGCACATGAATCCTTTTTGGTTGCCTTGAACAAATCAGGTTCCCTTGACCTTGGGGCATCGCTTCATTTGGGCGACGGAATTGAGACCGCTTCAAGTTTTTTCCGCGGGGAAACTCGGCAAGACCAATCCTCTGGACAGCAGTTGGGTATGTCTCCGGCCAGTGGTTGTCCTTTTGGTTTCCCCTCAAACCGACCCGAAAAGGGTACGGAGCGTGAAAAGAACAAAAACAACTTCACCAGGGTTCTATTCTTGCTGGATGCAAACTGGAGTTCAACTCTCGATTAAAAAACTTCAGCCGCGGAATTGAGTCCTGTGAGCCTTATTTTTCCCTTAAGGCTTACTAACCCCTAAGCGTTGCGATGTCTTCGGCGGGGCGAGGGTCATCCACTAAAGGGACAGGCCCTCTCTCTGGCATCCATGCACCTGCGTCTTCCGCTCGGTCTCTGCGATCTTCCGCTTGGTTTTGGCCTGCCAGCAAATGTCATGCCTAGAATTTGCATCGCAACCCAGGATTTCAATGCTCGAAGGAAAATTTCATGACACTTGGCCCAACAGCTGATGTCCAAACCGGCTCAAAGAGGAAATGACCCCGTGCGACGGCAGAACCCGACGAAAAGGTCCCCCCAACAGGAGCTTCCTCCCAAAAAGGGTTTTTTCATGATTAGACTTACGCCCAGTCATACAATGTATGTTCTATTGTTCGCTTCCCCTTGAGTCACCGGTAAAATGTAAAATGTCTCCTAAGTCCCCAGCTTTTCCGGGTTCGTGATTCATCCAGGGCGATGCCCCCAAGCATTGCATTCCATGTCCGCCTCCTCATTCCGCAACAGGCGAATGCGGTTGGCCAGCAGGATGGAGTCCTGCAGTTTGTTTCTGCCAGGGCATCAGGCGCCAGTTTTTGTTTTTTTTCTTTTATATCTCCATAACAGGCGAGGTGGCTGTGGGTCGAAACCCAGGAAACCCCTGGTGAACATGAAAATAGGTGGTACATGGGTGTTCATCCGCCCCGAAATGGCATAGGTTATGACCCATGGCCAGGTGTCAAACATGCCTTGCTTGAGCTGAAAGGAGCTTGTAGCCTCTCGGCCCTGTTGTGTGGCAACATGAAGTCTTAGCCGTCGGCACAAGCTGAGCATAAAAAAGTTCGGCCTTGACTACCTGGAGTCTCCATTGTACCTTTAATTTTGGGGTTTTGTACCTCAAAGTGGGGTCACGGCAGAAGGGCGAAACACGAAGGGTCACGGAGACTCTGGTCACTCGCTCGGGCCAAACGCAGCAGGTGAAAAAACCCTCGTGGACGGGGCCCAAGAAATGTAGCCGTGCAGATTTTGGAGCTCCCAGTTCCTCGATTCCTATGAAGCTCATGTCTAAGTAAAGCTGGCGGGAAGACTGAAGACATCTGAAGACCCAAACGTGGCAAGCTGACTTCAGTGTTTCCTTTGCCTTGAACCTGCCCTCGTCTTTGCTTTCCCAAAATCACGAGCCTGCTCGGCCTGTTTCCGCGCTCGCGCAGCATCGAAGAGCGGGTTCGAGCGCGCTGAGTTCAGCCTAGCGAATCTGCTTGTGAAATCCCACCAAGGGATCCAAATGATCCAAGGGGAGCTCGTGGTTTGCGGGTGTCGCATGATCTCGCAGCAAATGACATAAGCCTTGGGTCCGAGTAAATGTCCAGGAGCAAAGCAATAAACCCCTGGTTGAGTGATGGGGCGGTTGTCCCTTTTTAGTGGGGATTCATTGTTCCCTATGACCCCTCAAAGTACATGGGGGTTGATCAAAAGGTCCTTTACATGGGATGACCATTGGTTGGAACACCACTAAAGAGATATGAAATTTCAACCACCTGTGACAAATCATCCATGGTCAGAACAGGCACCCCCTCTCTCTCTCTGCAATATTGATCCCATCTCACAATTGGACCCTCTGGAAAAAAAAGAAAACACTTGTTGACCACATATGAATCAACCCCAGTTTGTCAATAGGGGGGTGTTCCCCTCCAAAAGTGGTCTCATTCCCCACATTTCACCCAGGGAAGAGCACCCCCGTAGTATTAAACTGGTTGGTTGATCCGCACATTTCACCCAGGGAAAAGCACCCCCGTACTAATAAACTGGTTGGTTGATTGATATGGGGTCAATAGCTAGGTCCTCCAGTAGAGAGGTTAGAATAAGGGTACTCGTTTTTTCTGTGGTCTATTTTCGTAGCGGAACCCTCTCCCAAAAAAGGGTGCTACTGGGGGACCTATATATTATTTTGCGCGAAAGTGAGCGGATCAACGGCCCTTGGGAGATCTCCATAAAACTCGCTCTCGTGGGTACCGTGCATTGAAAATCGACTGTAGCCTCGTCTTCAAACGAACTTCCCTCACTCACCCACCCACCCACCCTCCCTCCTCCCTCACTCCTCACTGAGGCCTCGCACTCTCCCTCTCTTTGCTCACGCCCTCGCTCGCTCACCCACTCGCTCACTCCCTCGCTCACTTCCTCGCTCACTCACACAAACACTCCCACAAACACGTCACTAACACAAACACTCAAACACTCAAACACTCATATTCACAAAAACACTCACTCAAGCACAGACACTCACCCACACACAAACACCCACACAAACCCGTGAAACTACCCACACAAGCACCCAAACACCCAGACAAGCACCCCCATGCAACCACACACACACACACACACGAACAGCACACAAACAAACAAACAAACAGACAGACAGACAGACAGACAGACAGACAGACAGACAGACAGACAGACAGACAGACAGACAAACAAACAAACAAACAATACAAACAGACAAACAAACAAACAAACAAACAACAAACACACAAAACAAACAAACAAACAAACAAACAAACAAAACACAACAAAACAGAACAAGACAAGACAAGACAAGACAAGACAAGACAAGACAAGACAAGACAAGACAAGCAAGCAAGCACGCAAGCACACTTACACACTTACACACTTACACACTTACACACTTACACAGTTACACACCTACACACTTGCACACTTGCACACTTGCACACTTGCACACTTGCACACTTACACACTTACACACACGCACACCACACCACACCACAACACAAGCACAAGCACAAGCACAAGCACAAGCACAAGCACAAGCACAGGCACAATTGCAAGCGCAGGAGCAGGCGCAGGCACAAGCACAGGCGCAAGGACAGGCGCAAGCACGCAAGCCCAAGCCGCGCAAGCAGCACGTGCTCAAGCTTGCAATGCGCACAAGCACGTCCGCAAGCAAGCACGCGCAAGCGCGTGCTACCACACGGCAATTCAGCCTTGTCGCTGTTTGACACCTCCCTATGATCAGGGTTGATCAGCGAGTGGTGTCTTAAAGTTGCCCTTCAGGGTTTTCTGAACGGGAGGCCAAAGGTACAACCATGAGGTTCCCCTGTTTGACTAGTTGGTTAACAACGCCCCTCCCCCAATGCTCGACCTGATTTAAGACACTCCCGGAAACTCCCGGCCTGTTGAGGCTGCCATAATCCTCCATCAGCGGGGATTCGCTGCGCGCGCGGCTCATCACGCCTATCGGGAACAGCTCCAAAGACCCCCAAAAACCACACCCTCAGTCCGGCCCGGAAATAGGTGATCACCTTTCGGAGCGCTTGAAACATGAACAGAAAAGGGGAAACCAAAAGGTCATAGGTCGATTCGCTTTGGACAAGTGATTTGTGATCATTTAGAGGCTTGTTCCTGCAACAAGAGAGCAGGAAGCAGCTACATTGAGGAAGCTGGCACACATCAGCAGCAGTATAAAACACCTGCAATCTGCTTCAGAATCTACAAAGCACACCTGCAATCTGCTTCAGAATCATTTGATGCAGGCAACCTCGCGATCGGAAACGGGAAGCCGATCTCATTGCCGAGGCGAATGGGTATCCAGCCATCTTTGAGTCTCCGTGACCCACTCAAAAAAAGGACACCCAAATTTCAGGATCATGTACTCCAAATTCAGGGTCATCTCCCAACAAATCGGGTCATATACCCAAAATGCGGGATCATGACATCTGGGCTGCCCTCAGATCACCTGCTAAAAGCTTAACTTGTAGTGGGTTAAATTCGGAAACTAGTCTAAGAGGCTAAGGAACCGGCCGGCTGGGGGCCACCAAGGCATGTCATGCTTCAAGATGCGGCCGCCTTCGCGACTTCGGGGCTACATGGCATAGCCCCGCTTCGAGCCAAAGGGGCGGCATGCGCACGTTGGTGGTGCCAAACTTAAGCTTCCATTTGCTGAAGCCGGGAAAAAATAAAAGCAAATATTGCCAGTAGGGATAGATTCCCTTTAGAATCAACATTGACAAAAAAAATAATATTCTTCCGCAAACGGAAGTAAGAGATCTGAGAAAGGTCGCACGGGATTCAATGTTAAATCCTTTTCAGCTCAGAGGGCTTGAGCTCCTTGCGCTTGGACGCTTTGTTTTGGCAAGGCCCGGCCGCTTTGATGTGCCAGGTGCTTTGTTGCGTGACCAACCTAAGACACCTGTACAAACTCACCTTCAAACTCACCTTCAAACTCGCCTGAAGACCTCGCATGACATTTGGGTCCAGAAGGCCGGACTTTCAACTAGGTCCTCCAGTGGAGAGGTTAGTCTATTTTAGTAGGGGAACCCTCCCCCCAAGATGGGTAAAAGGGCACTGCTGGGGGACCTTGTCAAGGACTCTTGCACTGTGACCGTGTCGTGCCTTTTTTTCCGTGGCGTCCGTTCTGGAACGAACAGGGGTTCAACACAACCACACGCTCTGCACAGCCCGGTGCATGGAGGGTAACTCGGTCTTGCCTCGACAAAACAGACATCTTCTGGGCTGTAAACGGGATGGACTGAGGAAACAATATATATATATATACATATACATATATACATATATACATATACACATATATACATATACACATATATACATATATACACATATACATATATACATATACACATATATACATATACACATATATACATATATGCATATACACATATAGACATATATACATACATACATATACACATATATATATATATATATATATATATATATATACACATACACATATATACATATATACGTATACACATATATACATATACACATATATACATATATACACATATACACATATACATATATACATATACACATATATACATATATACATATATACATATATACATATATACATTTACATATATATATATATACATACACATATATACATATATATATATATACATATATACATATACACATATAATATACATTTACACACATATATATATATACATTCATTCAGTCAGGACCCTTGGCCGTTCTATTGTTTTGGAAGGGGCCATCACGACACCGAAGGGCGCCCTCGTTTTCACGCGTCACTTGCTGGTTCCGTCCAGCCTGCGGTGCATCGCTTCCGGAAACAGAGACCATGTTCTGAGAATGGCCGTTGAATAGCAAGGATCCTTACATGACAACACCTGAACATTGCAACTTGTCAATGGTGGCGTCCCTGAATTCTGGTGGAACAAAAACATGTTTCAAATGGTTGCAACATGAATTTCTTTTAAGGAGCCCTGAATAGCTGCTGGCCAAAAGAATCGCAGGAAACAAAACTGGTTGCCCTCCCACCAGTTCACATGGAACCTGACGTTTCGGGGTCCTGGAAGACGATTTTCCTTTTAAAGCGACCCCCTGTCAGGTTCCATGTCAATTGGTGAGAGGGTGCCAGAAAGAGGTATCAGTATCCACTGGGAAAGCTTTCTCAAAGCTCACCATCGTTCAATTCATAGCGTGAAGGTTCCAAGCAATCAAACCAAACAGGCAGCTGTCAAGCTCTACGCTTGAAGTTGCCTCGTGGTGCGACCCAGTTCCAAGCCAACAATTTTCGATTGGAAGCAGGATTCGTCTGCAACCATGATATGTAAATATTGTTCTGTCTTACACATACATATACATATTTAACATATATGCAAAACACTTGATCACAACGCATTTTAGTTTTTGACAGTTCAGGTTCTAACTCTGGCTCTTGTTGCCAGAGTTCACTCTGTCGCAAATCATGGTGTTTCTTTCGCCAAGGGCTCTCCGAGACCCGGGCATCCACTACCTAATGTTGAGCCCATTTGGGTGTGGCTCAAAATTAAACAGCAGGGGCTACGCAGGTTTTAGTCTTTCGTTCCATTTACCAAGGTGCCATTTTGGCACATCTTTCTGAGCCACAGCCATTTCTTGATTGAACCCGACATTCATCACCCAACATCCTGCCCTCCAAACAGGCCAGCCCTTCCCCCCCCCCGCCCCCGCAACCCCCAATTTTGGGGGGAGGGGTTGTTAATCAGGGGTCGACATTGTGGAGCAGGCCGTACAGCGTTGCAGTGGCTCAATCTATCAACATCGGCTTGCGCGCCCGAGTTGGGCTGGTTGAGCTTTGAGACAAGGATCTCGTGGCGAACCATGGAGTGGGACACCCTCCCCAAAATGGGTCCTTGGTTTTTGTTAAGTTCACCTGAAGGCTACCACCAAAGAGTGTCATAGCACAAAACACCCAGGGAAGTTGAGACACTTAAGAATCGATAGTCCGTGACGCGGTCCGTGGTCCCGATCCAACGGACACACCTCTCTTAAACAAAACGGGTAAGCACCGCGCGCTGAGAAACACTCATGTGGCCCAGTAAAGCCAGTCGTTTTCTCTTAAACACGGACGGCTGGGTTATTCAAAATGGAGGGTTGGCCACTCCCAATCCCTTCGAAATTTTGAGGCGACCCCTTAAGCCAAGGAAAGCATTGAGGACTTGTGGGGCCAAGACAAATCCGGAGGGGTACCATTTTCAGGGACCTGGGTTGGGGTTTCTTCGCGGCTTCTCGGGCTTCATTCAGGTCTGGCTCCCTCGCATTCGGGAAGCGCGGAGGCCCCGGTTCGCAACCTCTGCGGCCCCGGCGTGTACAACGGCAGCAGGTTCACATCTGAGGGGATGGGCGCGTCACTGCCGCCTGAGCCAGGGATTCTCAGCCAAGCGGACTACCTGGTCTCTCCAAGACCCTTAGAAACTGGGGTTGCCCCAAATTTTGGGCTCATGGACCCATTTCTTCTGGGTCATGGCGACAGGGTCCCCCATGAAACTGGATCCAACACACGAAACCGACTGACCCACTGGATCCCAAAAACTGACGCCTTCGGCTGAGCAAAGGGTTTCTGCCTCAAAAAAAGAGAACCCCCCCCCCTATTAACCGTCCACAATCATTGTACACCCAAATGACAACATTGGGGGTAGAACCCACATTTTCTAGCTAGGAAAGTGTGGCATGGCTGCACAACACTTAGTTGTATCAAATGTAGACTCAATGTAGACCATAGCTCACGTGTGCTACGGTCAACACTCCTTTTATGGGCCATGGTCATGGTTGCCCAAAACAAGGATTTCCTTACTATGATGGTCTAAATCTCATATTGAGAAGTACAAGTCCAGGAGTCTTCAAGCCTTCTGACCCTCTTAGGACCTCTTCTGGGTGAATTATAATATTTCACCAGCCTGAAATAAGGTGGTTGGAGAGATATTCCCCACATAAACCACCATTTGGGGTGAGGTCGTGTGAGGTCCTCTTCCTTTTTCGACCTTCCGCGTCCTGCTGCGCTATTTCAGCTGCTTTGGTTCACCGCCGATGATGAAGCAAGCAGAGAAGGCGTGATGTGAAAAGCTGGTGAGAATGTTGTCCACTTATTTATCACACCATGGTTCTCTCAAGCCGAATGGACAAGACTAGTTGTTGCAATCATGGAACCTAGAGTATGAAAGTGTGAATGCCCATCTTCGATACCCAGAGGCTCCTGGGGCTTTCTATGGAAGACCCGACCCCTCCATTAGACACCCCGGAGGTGGTTGGGGGTCTCGAAACTAGGTTGTTTGAAGGCCCTAAATCAATCGATTTGGAGCCTCTGGGTAGTGACAACCCACTGACAAACGCACTTGTGGCCCCGCAGCGCACTCTCGTGCCAGGTTCCTGAAGCCTTGTTGCCCGTGGCTTGCGGCCTCCACAGCTGCAGCAGGCGGCGATCAGCAGAGCTGCGAAGAGGAACTGGGCCTGGGACTTTCGAGGTCCTTTGTTCAAGGGAAAACAACCAAACCGCCACCATTTTCGGGGTCACCTAAAACAGGCACACCCAAATGGGTGTGAAAAAGTGTGCTTCTTTTTAACGGTAGGGAATGACCGTTCCGGGTGTTGGGAATGGATTCGCTTAAAGGAAAAGGGGATGGTTTTTTTCGGGCTCATTCCATTTCTCATTCTCTGCTGAGAAGCAGCCAGCTTCATGTTTTTTGGTGCTGGGTTGCTCCTCTCCCCGAAGCTCCACTTGGTTCCAAAGGTCTAAATGGCCTTCCAAAACAGGCCAAAGACCAGAGGTGAGTTGAAGCAAAACAGCGGAGCCCAAAGTGTGGAATGCAACACAGGGCCCTACCCCTCCAAAGGCCCACGCAACGGTAGGTGTATGATTCTACCTGTTTTTTTTCTTCGTGGTATTCCATTAAAAGTTTGGGATATTGATCTGGTTCAAGCAAGAGCTGGACGGGTTGGACGTGGATAGGTACATGCCACTGATTTGGGCAATTACATGTGTCTCGACCACACGATATGATATGCTGCACAAGCTGATGGTGCATGACGTATCATCTGCTTGAATGAGCACCTATACACAAGCGCGCGCTCATTGTTTAGGGTCCTTGCAACCAAACAATTTGTGCTTTACTGATCCCACAAATTCATACAAATTCCGGGGTCAAAAGGGACCAACGTTGCAAACCCAAAATGGCGGCTTTCCTTTTGGTGTCCCTTCGAGTCAAGCTGAAAAGGGTGCCCAACAAAGACACACCCAGCGGATGACGGACGAGCTGAGTGCTGACAGCCTGAGCCCCACGCCACCACGAAGCCAAAGGCAAGCGCAGTAGTTTGACCATAGAACTGGCACGCTGCATCAACTTGGACTGAAATCAGTGGCCATGACTTTTAACTGGAACCCGCCTCAAAAAGTCGTTGGTGGACATGCAGCCCTGCCCCCTCCCAACACCACCCTCGCTCGCTCTCGCTCTCTCCTCGCCCTCGCTCTCGCTCTCTGTGGCTCTCTCTCTCTCTCTCTCTGTCTGTCGCTGTCTCTGTCTCTGTCTCTCTCTCTCTCTCTCTCTGTCTCGCCGCAAACAGAGGCCAAATGTGACGCAGCGAATGCGCTTTGCTTGCTTTGCTCCGCTTTTTGGCTACTGGCTGTTGTCGCCCTTCCCATGCTTTTTGCTTCCGTTGACCTCTGCTCTTGGGGGGCATCATATACAGGGATCCTTACATGACAACACCTGAACATTGCCTTGTGAATGGTGGCTTCCCTCTATTCTGGTGGAAAAAGCCATGTTTCAAATGGTTGCAAAATGTATCTTTTCAGGAGCCCTGATATACTTTACAGAAATCACACTTCCACCTTGTCACAACAACGTAATTCTGGGGAACTGCGTGGTCGCCTACAGAGCTGAATCCCTACAAGGGCCCCCCTGTCTAAACATGTTTAAACCACTATGTAACCTCAACTTGGCGAATCTTGCTGGTATGCTAGGTCCTCCAGTAGAGAGGTTAGAATAAGGGTACCAACTTGTTTCTGTAGTCTATTCTAGTAGACCAACCCTCCCAACCAAAAAAGAATCGGTGAGAGGTCGGGCACCAATAGCTGGGGGAGCTTGGTAGCAAACAAAAACTTTGCTTTTTGCTGAAGTAAAGAACCACACATGCAACAGGGATCCTTACATTACACCTGAACATTGCAACTTGTAAATGGTAGTTTCCATTTATTTTGGTGTTGAAAAAGCAACATGTTTCAAATGGTGGCAAACTGAATTTCTTTATTCGGAGCCCTGTGCAAAGAACCCGGCCTCCCTCAAGCCCTCATTGATGCTCTCTGCCTGAAGCCCACGTTGGGGGTTCAAACTATGATTAGAGTTAGGCCCACTTATAGAATGTATATCTTATTGTTTGCTTCACTTTGAGTCACCGGTAAAATGTAAAATGTATCCTAAGTCTACCCCAGAAACTATGTGGATGTGGTGGTCAAAACCGTTAAACGGTTGATCCCAGTTTGGTTGGTAGGTCCACCAACCATTTTAGAATCTGTTTTATGGGTCAAAACCAATGGTACCAGTTTGGGGTAGGTGAGAAATCACTACCCATTTTAGAACCTGTTTTAGTGGGGTTGAATCGGATGTTCACTGGGAGTACGATCTGGATTTCGACCCATGGCCATGTGTCTCTACTGGATGAATCTTGGGGCTCCGTGCAAAGATTTATGCGTATCCACATGCTTCATTCATCAACAACGTGATGTTGTAAAGCACCTCCGTGCATCCAGGCACGAGTGCCAAGCCCCGTGTACCAACAACGCACTATCTAGGTCCTCCAGTAGAGAGGAGAGAATAAGGCTACCCTTTTTTCTGTAGTCTATTTTAGTAGGGGAACCCTCCGCCAAAAAAAATGCAAAAGAGGCCCTACTGGGGGACCTAGTATGGCAGCTAGGGCCCGCGCAACTGACTCGCTGACCTCTTTCAAGACAGGGTTTCCTGGGCGGGCGCGCACCTTTTGCCGGCTCACTCACGCATCGGCGGGAGAATGTGAACATCCCTTGGTTGCTGTCGATTACTTTTTGGGGGTTTAGTGGAAAACACCTTTATTTCCCAAAAGTTAAAGTCTAAAGATCCAACCCAATAGCAGTCAAGATCCCTTCATTTCAGGCCCTTCCAATGAACTGCATCTAATTCCCCCAAACGGTGCTGGGCCCTTTTTTGTGGGGCGATGTGGCATAGGCTTTCCGGGGGGGGAACGGTCTGATTTCACGAAGTCAACTCACAGCGCGACAATGTCAACGCCAACCCCCAAAAGCGATGGCCGCCAAACTGTACCACCGATGGAGTCCCGCCAAAGCACGGTACCCCGGCAGCTCATTGATAGCTCGGATCAGACAGCGACTCTTCATGTCATGGAGGCACTTGCTCAGAATTGAATGCTGGCGTTGCACGGCTTCGAAAATTTGATCCTCGGCACATGGCCACGCGGCGTATCCCGCAAGAACAGCTTCTGGTCCAGGGCAGCTTGACCCATCGCAAGACGAAACAGCAAAAGGACGCTTGATGCAATCAATGCCCAATGTTGCTAGGTCCTCCAGTAGGGAGGTTAGAATAAGTTGGTACCCGATATTTTTCCTATTTTAGGGGAAACCTCCCCAACAAAAAGGGCGAGAAAGAGCACCTAGCTGGGGGACCTAGGTTGTGCAACTTCGCATTGCGGAATCTCTTCTTTACTTGACCTCTATCTGCTCAGCGCCACAAAGCGGCGCTTGCCACGAAGCGGCAAGCCGAAGACATCATAAACAGGGATCCTTACATGACAACACCTGAACATTGCCTTGTGAATGGTGGTTTCCCTTTATGTTGGTGGAAACAGCCATGTTTCAAATGGGCAACATGTATCCTTTAAGGAGCCCTGATGAAGCAACCTCCTTAAGCCGAAGTTCAATCGTCCGCATCTCCGCCTCAAGTGCACCGGAAGTGCAGTAGCTTCGCGAGAAATCGGACCGGTCCGTGAGGGGTCCATCGGAAAAGCGGGCCTAAAGGGCTGTGCAACCAAGGCGGAGCCGCTCCGCCTTGGCAGGAAGCCCTGCGCCTCTCCTCTCAAGGCATGATTCTAACATTGTGGGCTTAGAAAAAGGTGCACCCTTTCACTGCCTGGCTAAGTGACCGATGATCTGAAAGTCTTCGAAGCAATCCCGCGCTGACGCAAGTCAAAGGCTCGGTTTCGAATGGACGAGCTAGGAACCGTCTCTTGATATGTCACCACTTCGGGCATCTCACGCAGATTTGGATGGGAAGAACAAACCACGCTTCACTCTTCTGATAGAATTTTGGTCCCTCAGGGCTGCCTGACATGCACAACTCCTGCGTGTCAGAAACAATGTTCCCTGTGTCCCAACAGGCTTCGAAAGGCTTGAAGGGAAACCAAAGGGAGATCAACGTTTGCGGGGTTCCCCAACTTTCTTGTCTATTCATGGGGATCCTTGACCCCTACCCCCCTTGTCGTGGGACACCACAGATTGTCAAACCAACTTGCCGGTGCGAGAGATGCCGGGAATGAGAAACGGAATGACCGGAATATAATCCATCCAACTAGCTGGTTCATTCCAATTCCCCTTCCCTACTAGTCGCATGGGGTTCCAAGCTTTTTGCGTGTGAGAAGGGCCTTTGGTACCCTAGGAGCTACATAACTCATCAAATAAGAGCAAGGGACCAAGGTCCAAGCCATGGCTGTGGCTCAAACATGTACCAGAACTGGCGCCAAAAGACTAAAATTTGCGGTTTGCGCTAGCTCTTGAATTTTGAGGTCCCCACCCACATAAAGTACCCCCCTCCACCCCCCCCCCCCTTCCCCGCCCCCTCCCAGGCCCCTCCCACATAGAGTAACCGCCTCCCCCCCTCCCCCCTATCAAAGGGTAGTAAACCAAATCCATGCCGAAAAAATCCACAGCCGAGGGTCGCTGCAGCAACTCCTGCGCCTCCTCAAAGTCCTGGGCGGACCAGCTGCCCAGCTCGCCTCGCAAGGACCGACGGAGCCCGGGAGCAGCTCCCTCCCCGCGGGTGAGAGGCTGTGTGCGGTTCAGCAGTTTGAGGTGGGAGAGATGCTGGGAGCGAATCTGCGTCTGAGCTTTTGGACGGGAAACACATAGGAGGTTCCAGGCAAAAGGCCCCTTCACTCCTGAGGAGCCATTGAGGAGGAAGGCGGCGTCGTGCGCATTTAAGTAGATATTGGAATGGAGGATGTGGCCACACTCCAGCGTTTGCCAGTAAGCAGATTTAGAAAGCACAGCCTGGGCCTGCGCAGGCGAAATCAACATTCAGCTTTCCAGGAGGAACTTTTGTGCGAGCCCGTGCAGTCATGAGCGAGACGTGCGTCCGCGCCGCAATCTAAACACCATGCAGCCACTAAATTCACAATAATTGTGTTGCCCTTTCGCGGTCCAATCGCCGGCCTTTCGCGGTTTGAGTTTTCCCAATCGCGCGGTTCAACAAGTTGCCGCTGTTCATAAGTTTTAGACATGCAATTACGGACGGCCCCCATTTGGCGCCCCGAAAGCTTCGTGGCCGCTGCAAGAGCCTCATGCCCACGAATCCCAAAAAAGGTTCTATCGGTCAAAGGTCAAACCAAGCAAATCGCCCACCCAAGGGTCCGACCAGTGAAAGTCATAGCCATGAACAAAGCAAGTCTCAGTGGTGCTTGGAGCTAACTGAGTCTGCCTGTTTCTGAAAATATGTGCATTGAAACCGAGAACAAAAGAAAAAAACTAGAAAGCGCAAACAATGGTGACTGTCTCGATGCTGGGGCCCATTGGCGCGTGCCACTTTCGCAGCCAATCGTGAGCCCTCGGTGAACTCTTTTCGCGACCAATGTGTGCAACGCGTTTCACTCTCGCGAAACTTTATGCGGGCTTTGGTGGGGTCGACCTTCCACTTTCGCAGGGTCAAGAGAGAGAGAGAGAGAGAGAGAGAGGCAGAGAGGCAGAGAGGCAGAGAGGCAGAGAGGCAGAGAGGCAGAGAGGCAGAGAGGCAGAGAGGCAGAGAGGCAGAGAGGCAGAGAGGCAGAGAGCAGCAGAGAGGCAGAGAGGCAGAGAGGCAGAGGGGAGGGAGAGAGAAAGCGAGCGAGAGAGAGAGAGAGAGAGAGAGAGAGAGAGAGAGTGAGAGAGAGGGTGGAAGATCGAGAGGAGACCTGGACGTTAGTGGTATGTCGCGGGCATGGACAGGTATGGGTTCTGGAAGTATGAGGGCTGCGTGCCACTTGCACAAGGGATTACGGCCATATATGCTTATGCGTCTGATATGCGTTGGTGGTATACAGGTCATCACTCAGGACCCTACAACCCCAAAGGCTCCACCAAAACATTCTGCAACCCCTGGGTGGGGTCCCTGAACGGGATCCTCTTTGAAATATCACGGAAAACCTAAAAAAAAACTCAGCTTTGGTGAAACAGGTGACGTTTATGTGAGTTTCCACGTGGGGACCCTTTAGTGGACATCAATTTCCGGTATGTCGACCCACTTTTGAGGTGGTTGCAACTCTTAAAACTCAGCTCACCATTTAGCCTTGTCTCAAATCCTCCCCCAAAACTGGAACAACAAATCCGTCTTTTGTTTGGATTTCGCTTTCAACCCCGCAAACCAGGGCACGCAACAAAGAACAACCAGCCGGCTCGCCTGCCGTCAGTTCTTTCGCGGCGCCCCGCAAAGCCTCTCGGAGTTCTTCCTGCTGACAGGGAAGGACCCTGAGACCAAAAGTCCTCCCCGAGTTGGTTTCCTTTCGGAAATCCCCTTCCGGTTCATTCCCTCATTTCCTGAGCGCCAGCAAGATAGGTGTCCTTTTGGTAAAACAATTAGATGGGGTTCCCTGGTAAATGGATGGCATAAAACTCATCGAAGCCAGTGGAACCACTCTATTTCTAAGCGAACTAACCTAAATAGGACACCTATGGTCATGAAGAAACCATTGTTGGGTGTAAGTATGGTCCATCTAAAACCATGCATGTGGAGAAATGACAAGAATCATGAACATGATTTAAGCCTTAGGTGTGGTGTGTCCGTTGGTATGTAAGTTGGCCCTTCGAATTGCGTCGATTTATTTTGAGGGTACCCCCTGGAAAACCAGATCCATCTTTGAAAAACAACATTTTCCGTAGGCCAACAGAGGAAATCCACAAATGATGCAAGAGAAAAACCCACAAGCAAAATCAATCAAACACGGGGTTGTCGCCTCCGTCATAGGCAAGCCAGTTTCAGCCCCAGGCAAGTTTGTCACTTGAGGAGGTCTGGGATTCGAACCTTGCGGGATCTGCAGGGGGGAATGACAACATCAGCAAATATATATCTATATATATATATATATATATAATATATATATATATAAATAACACCCACACGCACGCAAACGTGCATGTGCGTGTGGTTGCGCGTGTTTGTTTGATTGTTTGCTTGCTAGTTAGTTGATTAATTAGTTGGTTGGTTCGCTGGTTAGATATTTGCTTAGCTAGCGAGCGAGTACTTAGTTTTCCGTGCGTGTATTTGTTTGCTTGTTTGCTTGCTTAGTCTCTCCGAAGCCACAATCGACACATTTAGATGCGCTCACCAAGAAACAGTTGAAACACAAAAGCAAACAACACGGCAAAACAAATTCCAACAAGCTGGAAGAACGCGCCTCAAAACCAAGCTGAACACAGGGTGCCAACCCCTAAAGCCTGCGCCCCCCCCCCCCCCCCGGTATCCCGGTATCCTGAGAGATGCCGCTCTGCTCTGCCAAGGACTTGGGGTACAGCAGCTCCTGGGCGAAGATCTATGCATTCCTGCATCTCCCCCGCTCTCTCTATATATACATATTGGTTTGGATTGGTTGGGGGGGTGGAATTATTCTTGGGTAATCCGAGTCATCCCCCCGTGTTCTTTTTCAGCCAGCCTGGGTAGTTTGAGGATACAGAAAAATATTGGAGAAACACCCACATGGCTCTCTACAAAACGCCGCTCTGTTGGGTGAAATGGACACTGCCACTACCACTAAACCAACTGAAAACCTAAAAAGCGAAGTGGATCGCCAAGTGGCCATGGGTCAAAAGCCAAGTTGTACACGCAGTGAACATTCGATTCAATCCAACCACTAAAATAGATTCTAAAATGGGTGGTGAATTCACCTACCCCAAAATGGGATCCCGTTGATCCCGTTGGCTTTGACCCACAGCTATATATATATATATATGTATATATAATCATGCATTGATTTCTTGTCATGCATACGTACGTGTACCTACAGATGCAAACACATACACATATTTAAGTACATGTGTACATATGTATATAAAATATATATATGGCGGTTGGCTGAAACTCCTTGCTCCGGAAATGCCATCCTCGTGGAACAACGACGCTTTTCGCGCCTCCATCGCGGAGCTTTCGCGGGGCTATTGTCACAACATGCGACACACAAGTGGTACACGAAGTATGCTTGCGCAGTCCCGGCTCGAAAGTCGCGACGTTCAGTACGAAAGTAGTGCTCGAAGTAACCCTCCGCAGCTGCAGATTCAAAGTCAAAACTTTTGAGTTCTAAAGTAGTACGCGAAGGCGCACTTCTGCAGCCCCAGCTCGAAAGCCGTGCAGCAGGACTGCGGGGGACCCGTCCGTTGGCCACTCACATGTCCGGAAACTGGCAGGGAGGTCCATCGACTTGTCGCGAAACCACCGACGGCTTCCTGGGGATTGCTTGTGCAGAGACGTGTTCTCGCTGCAATCCTCAGACCTCGTGGTCCGACCAACTTTGGAGTGTGTCTGCGTGAACATAGTTCATCGTTCCATCTTCCTCCTAGCAACCCCGACTAAACAAAGCCTTCCCGGAAAAAATGCGCGACCTCCATTGCGAAGCTTTCGCGGAGGACAGCACTGAGACCAAAATGTCTTGCCCTTCATGTCTGAATGCAAGCACCTTACGGAACCTCGGGGGGAAAACCAAGTCAGGGATTCTATCTAGTGCGAAGTTGTCTCCTGGAGGCAGTCGCACCTCGTCTACCACGCATGCTTTACGGTATCCGCGCGCAGCATTCAGCACTGTATCTACCACTGGCTTCTGGTGCAGAGCAGCAGCTCTTAAAACCAGCACTGTCTTCTGCGCGATGTCGAATGGAAGCGTAGGCACCCCATCCTGCGCACATTCTACTTGATGCTGGCAAATCCGGCTGCTTTGTTCTCCGCTGGGATCTTGATCACACGCTTGGTCTTCTTTGGCGTCTTCTTCTGCCCGCAAGGCAAAAGGGCCAAGATGCTGTTCCCCATCCTGGGTCCCTGGGATCCCGCTACCTCAAAGCCGAGGGGGGGGGTCCCACAATTCCATTTATTCAGTCTTCCCCACGAAAGGGAAAATGGAACCCTAAATGGAGATCTCCAGGGGTCGAAATCCCCCCTCCCCCAATTCCATTTGAAGAGGGTGGGGATTCCCCGGGTACGACGTGGCCCGAGGGGAACACGCAACCCTCGGCTAGACCTCTCCCCCCTCTCTCCCCGGAAGCCGCCTTGCAAGATTCGCGTTTTGGGCGGAGGCATGCCGGGCGGACGGCGACCCACACGTGCTGCAGGTATTGATGCAATATGCGTGGTAAATATATGTATATATATATAGATATGTAAATATAATTATATATATATATTGAATATTATAAATGCATTGTATACCCAGTCGGTACCTTTTGTAAACAACTGGTGCTCGCTGAGTCCGCGGGCAAAGTAGACCAGGCGCTCGCTCAGCTCTGGCAGCCGTCGGACCTGGCCAAAGAGGCGACCAAAAAGGCAGGGCCTCCCAAAGACTAAGCTTTCGATATGAAGAGGGGATTTTGTATCACAGAAGTGGGAATAAGCCGCTTGATCCCAAAATCCTGGCCTTGATATGGGGAAATTGGGTCGAGGTGTTTGCGGGAAAAGATGGGTGCACCCCCCCTGTCCCTGAAGTAGCAATAGATTACACATGGAATTTTGAGATATCTCCATATTCTGGGAAGACAAATGAGTTGTTTCATACGGGTAGTGTCCGGCTTTGTTTTTAGGTGCTGAATGACTGCCAATATCTTGCTATGATCATGGCCTCAGTTGCCTTTCAACTGCCCCACCACCCATGTCCAACTCTTTGGGCCCCTTACATTGAGACTCTGACGTGTTGGATCTGAGCAATCCTGCTTTCATTTCTCGAAAAGCTGAAACCGGACCGTGCATCCAAGGTCCAGCAACCGGCTTGCTTTTTGTTTTTTTCTTTTCGGTGAAAAGACGTAGCTGATGCACTGTTGAACTGACCATAATATCCAAACCAGCCGCTAATCAACTAACTACCTCATGCTTGTGACGCTCTAAATAGGGGCCATTGTACACAAAGAAAAGCCTCTATCTCGCGCGTGAAACTCTTGTATGTGCTGGTAATGGAAAGCAGAAGCTTGGTGACAGTCTACCCAAAAGTTTCACTTTCTGCATTGGATCAACGGTTTCAAACGCCAAAGCGTCATGTGGATGTTAGATCCACATGTCTTTCAGTGGATAAAGCGAAGTGTCTTTGAGCCCCGGACTCCCACTACCTTGACATGTGTCTTGGTGCACTCATTAGAATGGCTAAGGATTCAATACAAAGTCCTTCAACTTTAGCCTTATCAAACACATGTTCATCGCACACGGGGCAAGCACGCATTTCAACGCGTAAGTCTTCATTCCATCACGGATGACAGCGACCATTTCCCTCCGATGCATCCGCGCCAGCGGAAGCTTCACAAACTCCTGCATCAGCACTGACACGTTGACGTTGCCTGCGGAAGAATAACGAGGTCCAAGCCAGCGAGTTTTTTGAAGAATCAAGCAGGTGGCTCGTCTTTTTCTTGGAGCGCTGCTCTCCTTGTTGCTGGCTTCACCGCAGTTTTGCCCTCTAGAACTGCCTCGATTTGGTCAGATTGGCTAGATTTGGTGTGGCAGGTGAAGGCGTCCAAGTGTCCAATAATAGAATATCTGCTTCGCGTTTGAGGGGTCCCCAAGTTCAGTTTGACCATCTTGACGATTCAGGCAAGCATGGTGTGGATCCTTTGGTAGAATGGCATGCTGTCTATGACTTTTCGCTCATGGCAGCTGTACATGGACAAACTTTGATGTACGCTTCAACATGGTACACGCATGAACATCCATGTTACACTTTGAGTTGAAACAGGCTGGGGGTGCTATATATTCTGTTCAGAACATTTGGGACGAGAACGGTGTGTCATGAAGAAAACCACTCACTTCCAATAATTGATGACGGCAAGTGATTCAAGATCGATATCTTTGTCCAAAGCTCTCGGAAGTAATTCAGCGCTTGGGTCATACTGATATCACCCTCAGTTTCTCCTTTTCGAGTTCATGCCCCAAGCCGCGGACATACTTTACCCGCCCAAATACCCTCCCACCCAACATGCAACCTGACACGGGGTGGAAGACCCTTCCGCTGGCATGGCTTTAATGGCTCAAAACATGGCCCATCCCATTTGGAGGTTCCTGCACGCGCCAAGTATCAATCGTCTCAGTTGTTCAGTGACCCTGAAAAAAAAGGAAACCCGTTTTTGGGCTTGGACCATTTTAGTGGGGCAGCCACTAAAAAAAAATGAAAAATAATTGGGGCCACTGAACAAGTGAGTCGTGCTATTTGAGCACCCAAACAGTACGACTTGGATGGATGCTGATTCCCGGCAAGACGCAATTCCACACTCAAGGACGTTTGGCCGGACATTTGAGTCACACTGGGTTCATTTAAAGTGTGACAACAGTGACATCCTCCAAAAGAAAACCTTAAATGGTTGCCACAAGTACTTTTGAGAACTTCTCAAAATATTCACTTTCTTGGACCCAGTCACTGAGTCACACTGGCACAATGCAGTTCAAGGGCACGTATTGCACACCTGGTTTTTGTCCGGGTGTGGAGTTCTGAGGCTACTTTCCTGGGGGCCCAGAACCATACCTCGGTTGCGAAATCTGCGAAGCCCTGCTAAAAGTTTTTAACTTTTAGTGGTTTAATACGGAAAACCCGAATTCGTTGGCAAAAAGTTGTTGAGTCCTAACAGCCCTTGGCAACATGCAAAGAAATAAAAGGTCAAGCTCTTGGGGCCATGACTATGGACCAAACTGGGGAATCCAAAAGGCGCCAAAGATACCCAACTTCTTGGGCCGATGCGCCAAAGGCTGAAACGAACTTTCCCCTCCCCCCTCCCGCCGGCCTCCCTCCAAGGCCTCCAAGGGCAACAGCTCCGGCATGGACTCCAAGGCCTCATCTTCCATTTGCTTAAGACCCCCGGGGAAAAAAAATACATATATATATCTAAAAAAAAAACATATTTCCAGTAGTGCTGAATTCGTGCTAAAACCAACAAAGGGAAAACCACACAGATTCATTTCAGCAAGTGGAAGTCATCCATGTTCTCCTTTCGAGCGGCCGTTAAACACGACGCCTCGAAATCTGGGGGTGTCGTTTGGGTTTCCCCGTGGAGGAAACACCCCACTGGTCGCCTTTTCCTTCATGGGTTTCCCCAACCATCCCCCAAAATCGTAGCCTCAAAACACCAAAGCATGGATTTGGGGGGGGAAACTGGACTTTAGACGAGGTGGTTAAATGGGAGAAGTCTGAAAAGTGACAACACGATATCCCTCTGAGCATATCCTTTTGATTTCCTTTCGAACAAACCAAGTAGTCTCGATAACACGCACCCAAACGAAGAGCCTCGAGACGTGAAGCCCGTGGAGATGGAAGAAGGCAGTTGTTTCGAGGCAGAACATTTCACCTCTCTGCGGGAGCCTACGTTACAACGGTACTACGCGATTTTTACTTTTGGCTGATCTTTAGGTGCGCCAATGGCTATTCGTTGGTTTCCCTCCAGTTCGCCGTTGTGATCCTGCCATCAATGTTTCCACTTGCCAGGGTTCCATTTTGGAATTCCGGCTTTTTGAGCCACAGCCACTACTGTGGATGGTTGCGAAATTCATTTCGCACCACCTAAGAAACCCTGGAAGGATGATGTCCCTATAAATAGCAACAAACGCATACTCATGGTTCCCATTGTTTCAACATGGTGCAGAGTTTTGTCCACCCACAGTATGTTGTTCATCTGAAGATCACTCCCAAAACGGTGGTTTCTGTTTGGTGGAAAAGGCAATGTGAAGATGCCAAGTAGCTAAGTAGCCCGGTACATCCCAAAGCTGAAATAGTGACTGCTCGCTGGCCTGCTCAAAGTCATCCTCCAGGTCGCTAGGGATCTGGCAGCAAAAAGAGTGCAAACGTCGAGAACTCGGCATGTGCACTCCCTGGAAATCAACAGGAAGCTCCGAAGCTTTCATTTTTTAATTTGTTTTATTTTTTATATATATTTTTGCGGGTTAGTCAAGAAACAACATGTTTGGATACTCCTAACATAAAAGTCCGCCGAGGGAGTACTTAAAACTGCACGGCAGCCGATCGAGTCGCATGAGCTTTGCCGAGATGTTGTCAGAAACAAGGAGTCCCCAGCAAACGCAGCATATGCCAAACTTAGGCTATGACACCACGATGCGAGAAAGAGTTCGAACACGTTGCAGTGGCAAGTCACAAGTCTTTTCGCCTCCTGCTCGCTTACATTGTTGTAAACCTCCGGCAGGTTCTTCAGCATCGCCTGGCGGGCTGCGCACTGGCAAATGCCTCGACAAGAGGACACTGCCAGCCGCAAAAAAGCAATTGTACCGGAAGACATGATAATTACACACACACACAAACACACATACACACATACACACACACACACACACACACACACACACACACACACACACACACACACACACACACACACACACACACACACACACACACACACACACACACACACACACACACACACACACACACACACACACACACATCAAACACCACATCCATTGCAAACAGAACGCAGTTCACACATTCAGACAGACACACAAGCAAGCAAGCAAGCAAGCAAGCAAGCAAGCAAGCAAGCAAGCAAGCAAGCAAGCAAGCAAGCAAGCAAGCAAGCAAGCAAGCAAGCAAGCAAGCAAACAAGGAAACAAGGAAACAAACGCACAAGCAAGCAATCAAGCAAATGAACAAAGACACACCACAAACCCACAAGCAAGCAAGCAAGCAAGCAAGCGAGCAAGCACGCACGCACGCAAGCAAGCAAGAAGGCAGGCAGGCAGGCAGGCAGGCAGGCAGGCAGGCAGGCAAGCAAGCAAGCAAGCAAGCAAGCAAGCAAGCAAGCAAGCAAGCGCACACAAACACCCCAACAAACAAACGTACAAACACCCTAGCACAAACACACACGCAAACGCAAACAAACTATGACGGAACGATCAGAGGTGTGCCAACATGTAGTCACGCGTATGTTCTTCCCTGGTGCCATGACTTGCATGTGCAGAAGGTAATAGAAGGTATACACAAATATTGCGTCATGAACCGCTGATTTGACATTGCAAACCAAGAGACCTTTGTTGATGAAGAGGGTTGCTCCAAAGAAGCTGTCAGGATAGAAAGTGGACCCCTGGACAACAACAGGAGCCACCAAGTTTCTACCCCGTCCGTTTGAGGTCTGGAACCCTGAAAGGCTGTTTCTCCGACTGGGCTCATGACAGTGAGATCATTCGCTCTTTTTTTTAACGCTATGACATGGCCATCTGGGAAATTCAAAGGGAGCGCCCCCCAAAATAGGTGGTTTATTTTTGCCCAAAAGGCAAACATGCAAAAACAGAGCTTCACTCATACCCACACAAACACATCTCTTGGCCCAGCCAAGAGAAGCGGCGACGGAGCGCCTGGCAGGCGCTGCCCCCGGGCACTGAGACGCTCTGCAGCGTGCTGAGCAAACCCAGCAGCCGCTGCACGCCTTCGGAGATCCGGTCGCTCGGGGACCCCTCACCCCCCCCGCCCCATTTTTGGTGGGTTTTTAACGCAAGGTTTTTTTGGCTTGAGGGTAACCAGGAAAACTGCCAACCACTGTTGGACAAAATCCGTTCTCACCCATTTGGAAGCCATGGGAAGCCATTATTGGTTGGTATTTACGCGGGAGTCGAGCCATTCTAGGGTGTCCTTAGCGGTGCGAAATGGAATTCGTCCATCCACAGCTCTGAGATGGCGCTACCGAAGCTGCCCAAAAGGAAACCATGGGGCACCATGCGCTACTCCGATCGGCTCCAAAAGGCAAAGCAAACTTCGATGCCGGAACGGCTCCCGAAAGGAACCACCAGCGGAACGGGTATATAACCACTTAAAGGGTATACACGCTGATTTCCTTTGGCGGTGGTTGGGGGGTAGTGAAAAACATCTCAGAGTGCAATTTTCCGGCTGCAGTGCTATCGAGGCACCGATATTTGAATCGCCAATTCGATACTTGTAGCACATGGCTGCGCTTAGCATGTGAGATGGTGACTAACGTCGAACAGTGTTAGCTTCATTCTTCCGGTGAAACATGTAATGTGCTGTTTCGGCGACCATATTTTCTCGTGCAGCATGGCTAAGGTTGTAAGTTGCGCCGCTTGCATGGGAGTCATGGATTGCCGCTCGGAAATAAATGACACCTCGCGTCCATTGGCGCTCCAAGATGCCATTACCACGAGGGCAGTCCTTGGCACTCCGCCTTGCACCACAAGAGCCCTGCTCTGAAAGCTGGCACGCTGGCTGGGGAGAGTCCCAAAGAATGCACTGGCGCTGAAAGCCAGCATAAGTCTTTGTCTCACTGTCACGCCTGTGGCCTAAGATTCGTTTCCCTTTGAGCTCAAGCTGGCGTCACTCAGCTTGGAAGAAGTCAGATCCGGTTTCGCCGAACCGTGCCGTGAACACCGCCGGATTCTTTGGCTTCCGTTAGGGGCACCAAAGCCTTGGCTACAGGGCGGAATGGAATGGAATCCACGCATCTGTGATACAACGGAAGGGGCCTAACCCCAAAAACTAGTGTGTTCATGTATAGGGGGATGCCCTTGTATCACAGAAGTGGGGAGAAACCCCTTGATCCCACAACCCTGCTTTGCAACAAACTCTTGCCCAGTGAAGGGAAATGCCCCTGCCCCACAGCCTGGGGAGTACAGCAAGCGCACTGGCCGAGAGTTGGAGTCACCGATGACCTGCGACTCAATATGGCTGTTGTGTTGGATAAGGCCAGCATCTCGAGTGAAAGCAACTTCTGCCTTCTGTTGCACGAGATTTCAACGTGATGTTAATTACTCCGTCTCCAAATGAATCCACCTATTTGAGGTCGACGTGAATCTGCGTGCTCACGGGCCAAAACCTATGTTCTTCGCACATAGCCTAGATTGTACTTGACGGTTTCCGAATTTCCGTCAAGCCGAATCTCGACTGATAACCCACAACGCAACCTCACAATCGCCGCTTTCCACAGGCTTACCAACCTGTATAAACCCGACAACGAGCTTGAAGAAAGAAACAAGGGGTATGAGGATCTTGAGCGCACAATCTGAGCGCATGCCTTGCAATCGCTTGATTGAGACTCGGCTTCAAGTACGAACTGCGCACTATATGTTTGCCGTAGCTCTAGGCCGAATCCAACACATTAGCCAACCCAGTGCTTCAAACTTGTCAAAGAAAGAGTTCTCGCATGAACTTTCTTTGAGGTCAAAGGACAAGCCAACATATTTCAATCTAAAGATCCAACCCAATAGCAATCAAGATTCGGCTTTATTAGTGGGTGTGATCTACAGCTATAAATCCAGACACAAGCGGCGGTTTTTATACGAGGGGCGGCAGAGCTTCCAAGCGGCATCGCCCCCAAGCCCCTGCCTCAAGGCTGCCGTCCTCGACACCTCGAATCGAAGACTATTTGGGTAGACTTGCAACAGCAACTCCTTCCTGTGTCCCTTGACACGTTTAAGTGTAAGCCCCCCTCTTTGTCGTTTTAAAGGAAATGAAAAGGAACCTGCAAGGAAGCCGGCCCCTTTTTCGGGCAGGGAGCCCACTGACAGCGGGCTGAGAGGGCCTTCGGAACATGGCGCGCATCATTGGAGCGAGTCATAGCCGCACTGCAGGAAAGAATGGGGACAACTGTTCACAGAAAGGGCTGAGGCAGTTGCCATTCCGCTGCAATCTTAGTCTCTGCCCCAAGTGCGGTTAACTTGAAGATATGTGGCAGGTAGGAGGCATACGTACATGTTTTTGGTTTAGCCTTTTGCCCGGCTAATCCGTTTTGGTTCTTCTGTCAGGCAAAATTCAGCTGCGACATGCACTCATCATTCTCACTTCCTCTGACAACTACCGACAGCTGTTGCCAAGTTGCCAACGCTTCACGCATACAAGTATATCACCCATTTCTATGTGTATGTTTGCTGGGCCCCAAATCATGCCCTGTTCAGCCGCGGCCAGTCTTCCAACGGATGGCTGCTTGCACAACCTGCACACATCTGTCTCCATATCCACCGGCTTCAACTGAGGTGCCGCGCTAGCAACGGGACCTGCTGCGTCATCCTCACGAGGGACATGGTGCGGGCTCCGTGTTTTTGCTTTTTGGGAATCACATATCTTGAAATCGCGCCTGGGGGGGGGGGGGGTCCCGGTGCTTTATTTTCGTTTTTTAAATGACGCCTGGGGGGTCCAGGTGTTTCTTGGTTGAGATCACGCCTGGGGGGGTCCCGGTGTTTTGCTGTTTGTTGCATTCATGCCGGTGGGCCGGGGTGTTTTTTCTTTTGAATTCACGCCTTGGGGCTCCGCTTGCTTTGTTGAATTCACGCGTCTGGGCCCTGGTGTTGTTTCTGTTGAAGTCACGCTTGGGGGTCCGGCCCCCAGGAGTGATTTCAAAAGAAAAACGCCGGGACCCCCCAGGCGTGATTTCAATAAAAACCACCAGGAATCCCCGGGCGTGATTTCAGAAAAATATAACACCAGGACGCCCCAGGCGTGATTTCAAAATATGTGATTCCGAAAAGACAAGGACTGGAGCCGGCGGGTTTTTAAAACAAAACAGGACTTCCCAGGCGTGTTTTTGTTTGTTTTCCCCAACAGCTGAAAGAATGGGGTCTCAGCCCAGATAGGTTCCGGGGTGGTCTGGGGCGGCCCTGAGGCGGCCCTGAGGTAAGGTTCCACGAGGGTTCCACCAGGGTTCCACGAGGGGTTCCACGAGGTTCTGCGAGGGCTGCGGGGTGGTGCGAGCACTAAAAAGAGCACCGCATGCTGTTGGGGGTATCACCTGAGCTTATTTTAACAGCAACACCGGGATCGAGGTGTGTTTTTCTTTAGAATCTCCAGTCGCTCACTCACTTGCTTGCTCGCTTCGTCCGTGAAAAAAACCAACAACATAAGAATCCAAAATGAGGAATTCAACATAAGCACGGCTGGCGTAAGTTCAAAAAACAACAGAGGTTCCACGTGATGTGAAACCTTCCTTGAGTTGCGAGTCCGAGGAACCACACAATAGATGATCGCCCAATAATTCATTGCTAGCTAAGAATGTGAGTAAATCAGCGTGGCCTGGATACATCCTGCCACCCTCGTTTCATCCCGACATCCCGTTGCAAATGGCACAAGGTCCCAGTTGGGAGCGTGTATGCCTTAGCACCTGGTCATCAAGCAGTCCTTCCGAGGGCAATGCTTCACCCTCAGACCAATCTCGACTCGATATGTGCCCCAGCAAATCAACAAACTACGCCGTAAACTGCAATCCGTGCCACTTGCGGCATCAAAGTCAGGCGATGCCAGTGATGTCATGTCCACCCCAGATTCAGCATGCATCGCACCGATGCCAACTGCGGTCCTTCAAAATGGGTTTATAGAACCACGGATTGATTCAGACAGGTCGGAAGTGGACAATCTCTGTATGTGTTGGTCAAGCCAGCAGTTGTAGAAACGCACCCCAAGCAAAAATATCTCCCATTTCTTGGCCATCCCAAAATGGACATTGTGACAGACTCTTAAACACTCCTGTTTCACATCCCTTCTGAAAACGGATCCTTTTCACGGATCACCCCCCCCCCGTCCTGCGCCCTGCATCTCACGCGCGCCCGAGGGCAAATGCCTCCGGGGCTGCTGCATTAGCTTGACAAGGGTGGAAAGGGCGTGCCTTTTCTTTGAGGGAACTTTTGGAACAAATCCAAAGGAACACCACCCTGCGGCTTGTTGTTTTGTGCTTCGAGGTTCGGAGCAACCCGGACGCCCTGGCTAGTCAGCTCCAAGTCTGGCTGCCTATCCTGGCAGCGAGATAGATCGTTCAAGTTGGTGCAGTACGTTTAAATTGTGCTTGTCCAAACTGCGCAGGTATTCTTGTTGGCATCGTTGGATACCCACGGGCGACTCCAGGCGAAGCCTTTGGTGCGTCGCGTTCCCCAGTTTCGACCCAAAGCCGGGGCCCCGGTGCCTGCGAAGGCAGTCCCCAGAAGCGCCAAAGCGCAAGCGGCCGGCCTGGTGCTCCCCCCCCGCCCATCGTGGATGTCCGCGTGAGTTTTCCCCTAAACCCGCCAAACATGGGGTGCCCTCAAAGAAAAAACACACACATCAGCATGGAAGCTCATAGGTTCCCTGGAACTCAACCTCCTATCCACTTCCATAGTGGGAAGGGTGCATCCACAGATTGCGTGCTATGCACTTCCACATTTGGAGAAGTCCCCACCTTGAAGCAAGGCCGTGTCGAGCTGACGTCATCCATGCGTGCTCATGTAGAAACTGAATGTAGAGACATGTAGGCAGTGCAAACAGTGCAGCATGCAGCATGCCTCTCACTTGGCCCTTTGCAGCAGGCAGGAGTCGCCAAATGGATAGGGCGTCATTGATGTCGGACAGCAATCTGAACTCAGTTCACAGTTGATCGCAATGGATTCATTGTAATTAGCGTGTTTTATTTTCATCATTGCAACTGTCGTTATTATTATGACCATTGCTATCATCGTTCTGTCTCCTACCATCGAAACTCTTATCATTATTAATATTGTTATGTATCATTCTGGAATCACTGCTGTTGTTGCGTCTAATTTACCATTCATAGTAGTGACATCTTGCGAACACCATTGGTTGGCACCCAACATTTTGGATACTCCGTGCCCTGATATATATATATATATATATATATATGTACATATGTACAGCACTGAGTTCAATTGCAGTGAACCATCTTTTTGATAATACAATTATCCGCTCATGTGCAACACAATATAGCTCAAATTGATAGTTACATTCTCGGTCCGTGGGCGGGTCTTTGTGTAAAGGCTGGTTCTTCGGCCATGCGCATTGGTCACATAGCTCGCCACAAGGCGATGCGAGCGATGGCAGGCCCATAAGCTATGGACAGTTGAGGCGCAACTGACCTGGGCTCCCGCCTCAGGCGCCAAGTCACCTGGGCAGAAAGCACCCCAAGACATCTGCGCTCGTGGGGGAATTTGCCTTTCCTGGGCTGCCCGTTTTCGGATCCCCCGCTAAAAGTTCAGTGGGCTAAATGGAAACTACCACTAAAAAGTAAAAAGCTAAAAGGCTAAGGGGATGGCTGGGAGCCACCAAGCTTCTTGGTGGGGAAGATCTCATCTTTCTTGAGGTGGTTTGCCCATGGGTCTCATGTAAAGGACCTTTTGATCAACCCCCAATCTGCGCCTAGCCGCGAACACGCGAGCCAAAGCACACAAGGTTCAAGCCAAGGAGCAATTGGGTCTGGGAATGGAAGAGGTGCAAAGGCTACTCGAAACAGCAAGCGCAGCGTGGGAGCAACATCCTGGAAACAATCACATGTGAAGATGATTGGACGAGGTCAACATTTAATTATGTTGATGCCACAGAATGTTCGTCTGCAACCTCGGAAACGAGCTGTCTCTATGCGTGTTCCATCACCTTGACTGGAGCTACAAGTAGCACTGCGCCACATCTTGAGCTCAACCCAACCACCCCATACGGGTATGCCTTTTTGCAAAGGAACCCAAACGTGGCTTCGCTCTTCCAGCTGGTTACAACACAAAAAGAGGGTCGCCTCGAAAAAAGACGAGCCACCCATATCCAGTGCAAGCTAGGGTAAGCAGCTCCTCGAATGTGTTGGGTTAAACCCGGATGCCGTAAGCTCTTTGGGTTCTCGTTTTGGGTTTTGCTGACATTTGAGGTCCCGCCAAAATCCTTGTTGCCGCATCCGGGGTTGGAACGGATCTCATGACCTCTGGCTTTTTCGTCCCCAAGGACTTGTTGAAACATGACTCCAGTGATACGGGAAAATGACGCTCAACCTTCTTAAGCAAACGAGAGTGCCTTTTCTTCTGCGGGTATGCTTTCTGGTTGATGTTGAAGGGAAATCGGCTGGAACGCCACCCATTTTGTGGGTCCTCAACAAAAACGACACGCATCCAACTGAAAGCAAAGGACTGCCTGAGACCCCTTTTCCCACTTGCGGATTCGCGGAACCAACCCTGCCATCGGCCTGGCGTGCCTTTGGCGCCATGCGCGCCAAAGAGCGGGCCGAAGTGCCGAAGGGCGCCGGATGATTGGAGCTGGAAGTTGGAGCTGGGGCTGGTAGACATCTGGCGACAAACATCTGGCAAGACCTTCTGGGAGTTGGCAATGAGATCCCTGTTTTTGGGGGTGAGGAATTGTTTCGTTGGTCGTTGGCAATGAGATCCTTCTTTCTTGGGGTGAGGAATTGTTTCTGTCCCCTCCATAGGCTAATGGAGGACATGAATGGGGTGTCGCAGACGAAATGCGGCACGCCTGCATTGTACTGCTGCGCACGTGTAGCTTCCCACCTCTGGTGGCATGGACTCGCTCAACCTCTCTGGCCCGAGCTCAAGTTCAAGGCTGGCAAAGCGGCAACGAGGAGCGAGATGCGAGGCGATGCATGCTTCGGCCTCACTCGTGGCGAAGTCCGTTCAACATGCAGCCTGTACCAACTACATCATCGCGCCTTGCTGAGCAAACTTGGAAGGGCAATACTACTAGTCAGCCCTACCCATGCGAAATCCGAAAGCCTTCCTAGTGCATGCTCATGGGAAATGCAATTGCGCTCTGAAGCGCTTCAACCTCCGTTGCTTCAAGCCTGAACAACTGAATCCTGAAACCATGTGGATCTTTCAAGGCTACCGCCACCTCGCATGGAACAGCCGCACAGGCGCGGCGTGCAGGCGTGCTCGTCATTCTTAACACTTCTGGCGGCTTTCATCACCCTTAGTCTTTGCAGAACATGAATGTACAACCTGTGCAAGCACTGGCGTTCTGCTTGCATTTCACCCTAGCCCTCATTGGTGATTTGGATTGGTGGTTTGGTGGTTCCGGGGTGTTGCCCCTTTACCCTCTACAAAAGCCAGTCGCTCAATTCCCAAACCAAATCCAAATCCAAACCACCAATCAGCGGCTACCTGAACAGTTGTACTTATGCATGCACTGCCTCCAAATCACGTCCGCTCTTTTTGAATTCCATGACAGCGGCTCAGGCGTTGCCGTTGGATGCCTTGAGAGCTTGTACCTGCGCCGTTGCCAACACTCTGCTACTAGACCTTCGTTGCAACATGCAGCATCATGGACCGCAAGGGCTATGGGGGCTATCCCTTGTTAACCCTTAATAAGACCTCATTAAGGGCTGTCCATGGCATATGCTGGGCTTATGCAGGGATAGCCATTCTAGAGGTCAAATGCGGGGAAACAAAAAAAAACAAAAAGACATCGGCAGCACCAAGGCACGACGCTGTGTTGCCAGCCCTTCCGGGCGGCTTTGACGGATGGGTTTCGATGGGCTGCTTGCACAGGAGTGCTCTCGACAATGGTGGTACCAACGTGATCTTGCTTCTTGCGCCGTGGCGCAACTCCTCATTGCTTGCTGAAATAGCAGGCTTTGTTTCATCGCACAACGGCATACTGGCGCAGAGTAAGACATTCGACAACTACACAGAAAAAAATGGTTGGTACTTCTTCCAATGCCAACCCTCAAGCAAAGCTAGCCTCAGTGGCCAAGTCAAACACATTCATTGAGCTTCACCTATATTAAACATATCTATATATGCAGGGCTATAAATTTCAACAGGGAACTACCGAACTCAAGTGGTTGGACATGATTCCCCACTTCAATGGTGTCCAAAGGGTCCATTTGAATTCAACTGCATATGGTACCCCCCCCCCCCCGTCACCCCCATGGACCTGCCAAAGGCCAAAGGAAATTCAAGGCGGGCTCGTCCCAGGTCCAACAAGAGGGCTTGGGGACTCAGTGGACTTGAAGACTGAATCCTGGCCCCGCAACCCCCACGAAAAACTTCAGTGTTTGCAGGAACTTAGTTCTTTTTTTTTGGATGGATCCATTGCTCGGAAAACTGTTCAGAGAATCTTGGATCTTGGATCAACCCAGAAGACGTTAAGCTTCTCCAAACACTTTGAAGTTGTTCGGGGGCTTTGGGGGGGGGCCAGGATTGAAGCATGTCTGCACAATATTCAAAGTTCTATGAAATCCTTGATCTTCACGTTCGCTGGGATTGAACTTGACAGTTTCTGAACAACCTCGAACTTAGTCCTTGAATATTGAGGCCCCTCTTGACTTGGGACGTGCCGAACTCGCAAACGACCGGGACCCTTTTCGAAGGGCACAACATCGTATTGGATCAATGCTGCACACTGCTTTTTGTTTGCAACAGTCGCCAAAACGCCCATCCATACTTTTGACACACTTTTCTGCTTTTGGTTTGGCTAAGTTCGTGCTTGGTAATAAGTTTAATGGCAGTACAAGTAGATACTGACATTGACTTCTTCTAAACGTGATTGAGTTTCTGTTATTGAAATGGCATTTGCGGTATGCGTTTATCTCCAAATCATTTGTTTTTAATGGAGCTATAGACAAAAACAAAAACATAATACGTTCGATTTGAAATTGCATTGAATATGAACCATCAATTTAAATTGGGTGTTCTTCTCAATTTTGAGTTTACGCAAGTTCCAATGTGGGACCACGGGCTTCCTGTCTAAAGGGAAACAAAAGAATGCCGAAGCTAGGCATCCTATTTCTGAAGCCCAGGGGAAAGGTTCACCAATTGCTCCAGAGACCCGAACGCGTCATTGAGTCTCTGGGAAACCCAAAGCACTCCAGGGTTGTACCTTAGGGCTTGCATCCCGAATGAACGAAAGAACGAACGCACGAACAAATGACTAAACGAAGAAAGGAAGAAAGGAAGGAAGAACAATAGTATGTAGATGACTATTTCCTTTTGGCCCCCCAAACAACAAAATCCCCGTATGGGTGTGTCTCTGTTGTTTTTTTCTCTTGGGGGGGGGAGGGGGGCGAAGGGAGGACACCATTGAACCTCCCTAAGCATTTCGGGCGTTCGCGAGCTTTCGCGCCTCTCTGAACCAAAGCTTGGCTCCATAGGTCGGAAAATACCCCCAGTTTCTCGGATTCCGTTTACTTAGTGAATCCTTTTGGAGACCCAAAAAGAGAGGGTAGCCCAAAGCTCACGTCACTTCTGGAGTGGCCGAAACAAGTCCAGGGACTTGTGTCTCACTACCAAACTGATCCAAACCCCCCCAAAAAATAGAGAAAAAGTCCAGGAGCTCAGGGAGTGAGTTTTCACGTCACCAGCCGCATGATCAGAGAGGAGCTTCTGGGACCGGGTACACCAAGGCCATGGGTCAAAACTCAAAATCGTATAGTCAACATCCAAAATCCAACCACCAAAATCGGTCCTAAAATGGGTGGTGCACCAATAGGTTCTAAAATGGCTGGTGAATTCACCTATCCCAAATGGCATCCCAAAACGGTTTTGACCCACGGCCATATTTTGAATAAATCATCTCACAGGTCGTGGGACCTCGCGCACTTCTCTCACCTCGCGCCAGTTTTGACCCCCGGCCACCTTCGAAGACTCCCCAGCGACGAGTGACGGGTCGCTTCCCGCCTGCTCGCTGAGCTGCTGCCGCTCCGCCTGCAAGGCTTTGCAGCGCCTCGATCGGGCCGGTGGGGGGGTGAAGTGGTGGGCCCGGGCCGCCAAAAGGGGGTGGTTTTGGGGGAAGGGCCAAAGGGAAGCCAAAACCTGGCGATAAAACGCGCCCCCCAAAACCCCCTTAAAACCCCCTTAAAACCCCCTAAAACTCCCTTAAACCACCAAAACCCCACCAAAACCACCAGGAGGGGGGCCGCAAGTCATAACCCATCCCTTTTAAAATGGTGTACCCAAGCCAATGGAAAGAACTACAACGTTCGCTTACGCGGGCTTTGATTATGGCTCATCTTCACAACCCTCGGTATGGGCTTCCAAACAACTGACGTGTTGTTTGTTGTTGTTGCGCCCCCTACTAAACATGAGCAGAACCAAAAGACCAACAAATCTAAGGGTAGCTTTCACCATTATTTTCAGCCATCGTGCTTTTCAAAAACCTGCCATTTCCCCAGGGTTTTCGGTGGTTTTCCGGAAAGAAGGATCCCTGCAACGAATGGGGAAGTTACCCCTAGAACAAACCCAGCAACTTGCCAAGAACTGTGAAGTCATTGCAGGGAACCCCTTTGTGGGTCATGACCTTTTCGCTGAGACCTCCAAAGCGGAGGGTGCCTTGTTTTCAGGGTACCGCTTTTTGGTAGGTTTTAGAGGGAAACCCAAAGGAAAACCACGATTTTGGGGGTCACCCAAAAAAAAGACACACCCAATGCGCAGCGCAAATAGCGCAGATTACGTTGCGCAGAGTGAGCTGCGGAGACAATTGCTTGCGGCGAGTGCAAATAGGTGCGGTGCCTTGCACAGAATGACTTGAACGGGGTGATATGCGCAATAAAGGTGACTTACGCGAAGTAACTTGCGCTGAGTCACTAGCACAGGTTGATTTGCACAGAATGACTTGTGGAGTGTAGTAGCTTGCGCCAAGCATCTAGTGAAGAATGTCTTGCACAAAAAGACTTGCCCTGACCGTTTTATAGGACCTAAGTAGGGCCTTGACCATGGCGCAGAGTGATTTGGAGAGAGTGGTACGCGAGAGAAAAACCATTGGGCCACGTGGGTGGCATTTCTCCCCTTGGAATCCTTTTAACGCCAACGGGTGGCTTCCCTTTGGCTTCCCTTCAAAACCGGAGTGCACCAGTTTGAGAAGCCCAGCAATTCGAACGGGGGTCCACAAACCAAATTAAGTCATGATCATGGAAGAAAGTCAGAGAAAGGGAGGAGAAGGAGAACGGAATGGGAGGATGAGGAACACCACGTAACCCATTAGCCACATAACGGTTATAAGAAATAAACATGAGTGGTCTTCCCATCCCTTCATCTCTCTCCATTTTCAGTTTACGATATATATATATATATATATATCCTGTAACCATATATATATATATATATTCTGTAAATCATATATGCTGGAAGTGGCACGTGAGAGATATGAATGCATGTCCTTTCCATTCAAACATTTTACAGTAGGAAAGGACATGATGAGAAGAGACACCTGGTTTATCTTCTTCTCCATCTCTCGGCTGCAAGTGAACTCCCTAGAGACGAAAACTGAGTTTAAGAATGGAAACAAACATCTGCTTTAGTTT